TAAATCTAGGGTTCTTGGGGAAACAAACAAGGGAGGACCCTCTTCACATGGATTCACATGTCATTGCCTATGTAAAAACCTCCAAATATTTTTTTAATTGCTTTTGCTTGCAACCATTCTATTGGGTGAAGGTGGCATACTCCATGGACCCCACTCAAATAATCAAATGGGGATTTTTTTAATCTATCAATTTGATTAAAATAATATTGGTTTAAAGACTGGCAACAAATGGGGGATGGTACTATTTTCTTTCTTTCATATTAATTAATAGTACTATTAATTTATTAATTAATTTAACACAGTTTACATATATTTTTTTAATGTGCCATCTTTTTGAAAGTCTAACAAAAACCCAATTAGTTTATTATTACTTTGAAAAAGAATCCACAAAACCAGCATTAAGGAAATATGGACCACTTGATAAAGTCTAAGTTTTTGCAGAGAATTTTCTTTGTATTTTAAAGGAAACCCACAAACTAGAACAAAGAAAAGGCACAGCAATCTGCTTGAGTTTTGTATTGTGTTAATGGAGAATCATTTGTCAGCAAATTATGCCTTTAATTCACTTTTCTTTTCTTGTTAATTAATTAATTAATTGAATTGGTTGGTTGTTCTTTCAACTTTGAGAAAGCTTACTGATCTTTTGCATGGAGTACTACAAGGTGTGTGCCTAATAGTAAAATTATTTTAGGTAAAAATTCATTTTTTTACTATACTACGTACTTGACTCATTTTATCACTTGTGGAATTAAATCTTAAATTTGAACGAGTTTAACCATTTAATTATGAACACTCTTGTGTCTAGATTTGGCAAGGACTTGATATTTCTGGTTGGATGTTTAGAAAATAATAAATAAGATTTCATTCAATTGACAATTTGAGGATAGGTTTTGTACATAAACCCCTCAAAATTTAAATTTTGTTTTGTGTTTCACTCAAAAGGTCTTGTACCAATGGAAATGTTGTTTCTCATGTTTATATATCACTCATCTTCTCTTTATTTAATCAATGTAGGACTTTGATCACATTTCCAAGAATTCTCCCCTCGAACAAAGTACTATCAAGTCTCTCCTCAAATAGTTACTCATCTGTTCAACTCTTATCCAGGTTAACTCTTCTTCCCCAAAGCTCACCGTCTGTTCGATAGAGCTCAACCACGGATCATACCATGACTACCATCTTCTAAGATTTACCACTTTCTTTGTTTGGCACACAAGGATTCTACCAAACAAAGCTAAGTTAGAAACATTGTTCTTATACCATTTGTTAAGAATAACAGTATCCTCAAGTATCTCTGATCCACAATAGTATGATATTGTGCATTTTGAGCATAACCTTCGCGACTTTGTTTTTTGTTTCATCTAAAGGTTTTGTATCAATGAGATGTTGTCACATACTTAAATACTCATAATCTTTCTTTTAGTTAGTTAATGTGAAACTTTGGTTGCATTCCCAACATATAGTACGTATACTAAAGAAAAGTAAGAAAACATGTGAAAAAAATAGTTAGCTAAATATGTTTTGTTAATGAATTGTACCAAGAAAAGTAGAAAATTTATTTGAAGATCAATACTTCTTAAATATTAAACAAGCCCTAAAATAAGATTATGTTTGGAGATAATTATTAGTTAATTCTTATAAATTAATGATTTAAGGTGAATTTTCCTTTTACTATTAAATATTTGAAGTATATACACTATATATCTTTCAATTTCGTCTTCCATCTTTAAAAATTTAGGTCTCGGAGAATTTTGTAATTAAATTCTTTTTTTAATATAATATGTGAAGTGGGGATCGAACTCACAACCTCTTAATTAAAGATATATGTCAATTATTAGCTATCCTCACTTTAGCTTATAATTAAATTCTTATTCATATAATAACATTAAGAAATTAACACAACAAAAATTTTTATTAAATTCCTGCCATAATTTTTTTAAATATTATTTTATATGAATTGATATTTTCTAGACGCTAAATATATCTCACTCATTCTTACTTAATTTTAAAATTCATTTAGGTCTCACTGAATTAAAAACCCACATTTTTTTTTAGAATAAATTAAAAACCCACTTTGTGAGGTACTATTATTACATTATGTTGCATATATATAATCCCATTAAAATAAAAACCTATTTGGTAAAGTATACTATGGTAGGGTAGAACGCTCTAAATTTTAGGATTAAAATATTTATGAAAAGTAATACTAAAAAAATAAAGTAAAACCATATTAGCAAATAATTAATTTGTTAGTTTGTTAATATTAAATAACTTGTCAACTAAAAATAATATTGAACAATCAAAGTTAATATTAAAATATAAGTTATAAGTAGTTATTAAAATTAATTAGATACAAACAATAGGATTTTCTTTTCTTGAAACAAAACAATATGCTACTGTTATTTGTTTTAATAGTTAATTGTTGGTGAGTTAAAAGTAAAAGTAATAAATATTGATTAACTAAACTAAATAAATAATGTTTGCTATATATTTTCTAGATAAAAGAAAAACTTTTACTATCTCAATAAGTTAAAAGTACTTATGTCCAAATAGAATAAGTTAAAGTATTTATGTCCAAATAGAAGGTTATAAATTTGAATCCCTTCATCTCATCTCATATTGTATTAAAAAAAATATTTTGTTTCACCAGAATAATTATTTTCTCTAAAATTTATGAAATAAGTGGATCCTTCAAACATTAAAATAATAATAATAAATAAATAAATAAAAAGAGGAAAACTTTTCAAACATAACCAATGTTAAAAATATCACTAATATCACCATCGACCTTTTTGTTTTTAAGAAAAATATCACATTCAATCTGTATCAATATTCATAAGAGTCTATCTCAAAACCAATCAATAATGAGAAGAGTAGTCCATGTATATTATAAACTTTGTTAGATCTTGTTTGGGATTTTTAATAATATCTGAATATATACCTTTATAAATTGAATATTTGACAAAAAAACTTTAAATAACGTTATTAAGAATTATCTGTCGAAGCAAGTGGATAAGGATAAATAATTCGCCAATAGCCTTAATTCAACTAGTTGAACTATATTTCTCGATAATAAAGTTGAAGCTTCGAATTTTCATTCTGCACATGTACTTAAGACTCAAAAAACAAAAAATCAAAAAGCATTTAAGCTCTATTATTCCTTTCTTTCTCCATTAATTATTCCATTTTCTATTGAAGGTCTAAATATTCTTTTCAGACATTAGGAAAAGTAAAAGTGAGGTATTAACCTAATAATCCCTACAAGATATATTATAATTAACTTTACACCTCTACTCCCATGCTTTTGACAAAAGAATTCACTTGTTTTTCTATACATATATAAATATATATATAATAGGTGGGGATGAAATTTGAACTCAACACCTCTTAAAATATATGTCTTAACTAATTGAATTATATTCAAATTGATAAAAAGATTCACTTGTTATTAATAAATAAAAATGAAGAAAAATACAAGTCAAAATGTTCCCATTTCTGCCGTCATGAACCTAAGCGATAATTGGTATGTATATTATTGTACTAAAAGAAAGTTCAAAATCCTAAATTTTAGGTTCAAATCTAGTTCTATGAATTTTTAGAATTATTTTAGTTTTGAGTTTTATTTGTCAATAACAATTTAGCAAATAGATAATGTGACTTCAAAATACGTGTGTTAACATATTAAAGTGATATTTGAGTGGACGTGTATTGAGGTAAGTTAGTTCATATTAGTATTAGGTAAGATTTCAATATCGATGTTAATGGAAATATCAATAAAATGTCGATGCATGTGAATAGATATAATTCCAGAAATATTATAAAAATAAAAAATTCATAATACATATTTAAATTTACAAATAAACATTTAATCTTTTTAAATAAGTTAAAAATATTAATATTTAATAATATTCCCTTAATATTTTATTGATATTTTTTACATTTTGTCGCTTTTTTTTTTACAATGTTGATTCACCCCTCTTATGTCCACAAAATATGTTGATGTAAATGTCAAACATATCGACAAAAATTAATATCCTAGTATTATAACAATGCTTCATTGTCACCGCTCTCCCTCCTCAACATATAGGAGAGAGGAGAAATTTTTTATTATTAATAATAAATAAATAAATAAAAGCATGTCAAAAAGTTAACGGTGAACGGCAGAAGAACGATTAGAATTTCTTACTAATGGTCACTAATTGGGTCAACAAGAAAGCCTTGTTTTAGTATTAAGTGAGTGAATATAAGGTTTGGAAGCTTCCTTTCCCAAAGAAATGTCAGATTCTTTCTTTGGTGTAATTTGCATCGAGCTCTTAATACTCACGACAAGCTACAAATTCGACTGCCTTCTACCTATATCAGCCCAAATTGGTGTGTCCTCTGTAGATTATCTATTGAATCTTCCCATTAAGACTGATTTCGTACCTCTAGAGTCTATCGATATCGAAAATTTAACCAATATGAATATCCACGAACAATTTCAAAAACAAAAAATGATAATCTTTTTCTTTTATCATCGTTAGAGATTGTAAGTTCAATCCCCACCCTACATATTGTACTAAAAAACTAGTGAATAAACATAAATAATTATCCAAAAAAAACTTTAAAATCTTATTTCCTTCAATTCTCTTAAAAAAATAAAACACTAATTTCCATCTCATTTCTTTTAACCCTTAAATATTTAAATATTTCATTTTGACCTCAACTTTCAAAGTTTTTTAATTTTAATCTTTAAACTTTATATTAAAAAACAAAATAAGTGTTAATAACGTTTTAACAAAAGTTTTATGTTTTAGAAAAATTTGAAAATGAGAAAAAAAAATTTGCTGTTTATAAAATTTCTACACAATTTTCTAAAAACTAAGAAACGATAAATATGTTCAGTTATCAAAACAAACAGGAAACAAAAAACAAGAAACGAGAATGTTACCGAACAAGTTTTAATCTTTCAGATTTGATTAGTTTCACAAAAATTAAAATACAAACAAATCATAGAATGAAAAGTAGACAAAAAACTACATTTTTTTCATGAATTACTTTCTGTGCATACAAATTAAGCAGTAACTATACAACTCAACTCAAGCATGCAACTTTTCAGAAGGTGAAAGATTAAGCAGCAAAAGAATTACATATAAAAAGTATAAACAACAATCTTCTTCTTCGTCTTCTTCTCCCTTTCAACATGAGCTTTCGTTAGAAAAATAGGCATTCTCTCGACTTCCTAACTATCCACCAACGAATGTATTTTAATTATTCCCTGAAAGTTGGAAATGGTCTCCCTTAAAATCATGTAAAATATGGCATAAAATCATACAAAAATTCACATATCACATATTGCTAATAAAATTTAATGGCCAATCATTGTAACCCATTAACAAATCCAGCATTTAAAGTTATAAAAAATAAAAATAACTAAAGTATGCATATAATATTTGACTATCTTACTACCCTGAATTGACTCAATATCCTTAAATAATCTCTTTAAAAAAAGTATATATCCATTTCTTCAAATTTTTTATTGTTACATTATCTTCAATACTATGTCTTTTCATGTGTAACTTTTATATGCTAAATAATTATTGCACACTTTCGAGTTCTATAGAACTATTTCACTTCAAAAAAAAGAAAGAAAGAAATAAAGAAGAGACCCATTAAATTGAATAACTAAAGTCAAAGGAAAAACAGTATTTATTTGCTCTCTAACTTAACATCCGTATTGGTGAGAACTATATTTATACCAAAAGAAAGGAGAAAATTTTAAGGTTTACCAAACTGTTACAAAGAAATATACTACTTACCTCACGAGTATTTGTTAACATGCATCCACTTTGTACATGACCATTTGTTCCCTTTTATTACAGGGCAAGCACCTATCACAAAAATGTAATTAGTTCTCCTTAATAATTATTAAAATGCGCCCAACTCTTGAGCAAAGGCATATATAAAACAATCAAAATTGAATCCAAAAGTTGATGGTTTGATCAGTTATATAATATATATATATATATATATATATATATATATATATATAAAAGTTCCAGGGCCAACATATAATTTAAACTTCATTTATGTTATACTGTCCATCCCGCCCCAAAAATGCTTGTTTTTAATTTTCTACTATTACAAATGTAAATAGCAAACGATAAATTTGAAAACAGAGGGGAATATTCAAGATTTTGATGACAGTAAATATCACTAACCATGCAAACTTGTAGGATCTAAGGAAGCATCAGGCTTCATGCTCCAGAACAATAACGCATCCCCCATCTTTGGTTTTACAGAAAGTCCACCTTTACCACATTCAGAAAGCTCATTCCACCATGGCACAGAGCTGAAATTTCCTTTTGCAGCCGGGAACACCGTCTCGCCCCCTTCTTCAACATCCGACCTGCATTCGTATTGGTAGCAATTTAGAGAGATAATTATAGAGGGTCAGATGAATTAGAGAGATATCAAGTAGAATCTTACAAATACATGAGAAGGGTGGCCATTCTTTGGCTTCCTTTTTTGATGTTGTACTCATCAACAAAGTAATCATGGTGAGCATCATACTTCTGCCCAACTTCATAGTGCAGAATTTGAAGTCCTTCTCCATGCTCTGCTTGGAATACAAATATATTGAGACCAAGGATGTCAGTGACATCAAGAAAGCATCAAAACAAGTAAATGAATCAAAGCACGGTTTGGTTTGGGGTCTCAAAACAGAAATGGAGACAATATCACATGAAACTTAGCTACGTTTTTGGATTAGTAAGCTTAAAGTTTAAATATTTGGTTGCACTGATGCATATGTTTCAAACAGATCAGTTCCTTTTCTTTTATAAGTAGGTCTTGGAGGCAACCTACAAATCTCTAAGAGGGTTTCACCCACCTCAAACCCAACCCCGAAAGACAACAAAAAAATTTTAAGTTATTAAGTTTTCAATTGAGGCTTAAATCCAAGACCTTAGAGAATATCTCCAAACATTTCAAACCTTTACGTTTACCCTTGGGGTAAGAGACTAATTGCCATAATTTAAGCAAATTCGATGTTTGGCTTGATCAGTACCAAACTTCTTGTGGGAATTATGTTTCAGTTGTCAAATCTACAAGGAAATAACTTGTAAAGATTGATGGTGCTGAATACATCAAAATCACTCTCCATCCACATATTACATAAGGACAAAGTCAGAAGGACAACTTGTTCCAAGAGATAAGTCAACACATAAAAAATAACTCTTTAAAAAATTATAAAAACTTGTTCTAACCACTATTACCAGGCAAATAGGTAGGAATTATTTATTTATTCCTTTTTTTTTTTTTTGATAACTGAGAGCCGGAGCTTTACTCCCCTGTACCCAGGCAGTGACCGCCCTAAAGTCCGGACCCAATAGACATCAAGGGTTTTTGGTATTAAACTCACTAGAAGATCCGAACCTGAAGCCTCTAAGCCAATATGACTAAGAGACCACAAGTTCTTGCCAACTGGACTGCCCCTTGTGAGCAAATAGGTAGGAATTATAACAATAGGATGAACAAATTAAACATTTGGTGTAACATAGCACAGCGGGCCCATCTGGTAGAAATGCTAGTTTCAATTAAATACTTGTATATGTCACAGGTTACAGAACAGAGTGATAATAAATGCATGAGAAATTGGAAAAAGAAATAAGTAATCTTTAGAATTCTTTACCTATAGGAATGAATGTAAAGTCTGCAATTCTTTTCTCTATGTTCCTGATGATTCTGTCCTGCCCTCTACTCAGAAACATACCAGAGCTGGTGCGCACCCTGCGAACATTATATTATGTAGCAAATCAACTAAAGTTTCCCTTGTTTATTTGTAATTGTATTGTTATACCCTTCTTTTATGCTTTCTCCGTAACCATCTTTTTCACCTAAGGCGTATGTGGCCGGGTTTTGACCAAATCAATTATCTAAACCAGCCGCCTAACTCAAACCAATTTATTATTTTCAGTTTTAGGCTTTGAAAAACCGAGCCTACTATAAATATACTTCAAACCGACCAAATTTCAGCTGAATCTACTATATGCAGCCACTTTCGGGACTTACCTCCCTCAAATAAATCTACTTTTAGAGAGACCATTGATCAGAAAGACTATTTATAGATAAATCATCTTTAGAAGATGAAATTATTACAAAACTAACCTCTATCTTTGTTCGTAGTCATAATTGACAAACTCTACTGGTATGTAAGAATGAGAAAGACAAACCTGCTATCCATACTCTTGCCAGTTTCGGAATCAATCACAGTTGACTTCACCATACGAGGCTTTGCAAGACTAATTAAGTACAAGCACTCTTCCTTGGACTGTTCAAAAGCATTCCAACATCAGTAAACATTTAAACCAAATGACAATAAAATAATAATAATAATAATAATAATTACTCTAAAACATACCAAGAAATTGTGATAAATGAAAGCCCTTGGCTCCCAAGAAATGACCTCAACCCACTGCTCCCCTCTCTTCCCCAACCCCTCACTTCAACAAGACCACAATCAAAATCGCAATTAATCGATACTGCCAATAACAAGCTGAAGAAATCAAATCACTAAACATTGCCGAATCGGGAGTACCTCTCAACGGCTTTACGCCTGACGGAAGCGAGACGGTCGGGTAGGTTGGGATCAGAACTTTCGGGAGGAGAGAAGAACCGGAGAGCGAGAAGCATGGAGAAGCCGAGGGCCAAAACGAGAGCCATGATGATCTTGGAGAGCTCTAATGTGGACCATTTCCTGCCGTGAAAGTTAATCTTACCGTATTTCCCTTTGGACACCGCCATTGACGAGACGAAGATGCTTCAATTCAATTCTGCTGCGGAAGACGAAACATAGATGAATATATACAATCTGGTGTTGAGGAAATTCTGCCATTGATGACAGTGGGAGAGAAATTTGTTGGTATTGCCCTTTGTGTGCGCCCACAGACTGTGAAAATGCGTTGTTTGCTTGAAGCTGTTTCGGTGGGAAGAAGACCGAGAAATTAAGGAGGTTGTTTTTTTAAATTTTATTTAATTTTTGCGAGTGTGACGTAATAATTGTACTTAAATGGATTCAAAAGAAAAAAAAAAACTCAAAAAATTCGTAAAGGTTTGAAATTCTTATTACTAATATTATTTCTATAATATTCCTATTTTCTTACCTTTAGTCGATTATTTTACTATAGGATGGAATGTCTATTCACCTCGCCTCACGTGTCGACGTCGAAATTATGAACATATGAAAATGTTGATAGAAATTTAAAACTATATCTTTAGTGATATTACTTATCAATATGATGACAGTGAAGCTTAAAGAAAAACAATACTTTTCTTTTAAGTATTTATAAGAATATGGTAGTTTTGATGAGGAAGGTTTAAAAGAAACATCTTAAATTTTTAAATGTTCTGGCACAAAAAATTATTTTAATCTTTTTCATCCATTTTTTAATTAATTACTTCAAACACTCCTTGGTATAGATGTTTATTGATTGATAAAGTATCCCAAAACTGCCGATTTATATTTTTATTCCCGTACTTTTAACTTTTTTTCCTTTTAACTTTTGCAATAATGAAACGTCACTTTTGATCTCTGTATATCATTTTGGTCTCTTATTATTTATATTCATTTCATTTTGTTTCCAATCACATATTTAGCACAAAAACTACCCTCAATAAATTTCTTGAAAAGTGTAGCTAAAATTTTGTATTAAATAGTTTTCATTGCGTATAAAATTTGTATTTAAATTTTACAAACATTGACCAAAATAGACGTTTTGAAATTACATATACTAAAACGAACAAATGTTAAAAGTACAAAACCAAAATATAAAATATAATAATCGAGAGGAAGGAAAGTAGAAAACCCAAAATAGTATTTAAGCTTTAAAAATCAATGGTAATTGTTAGGGGACAAAAATAATCTTGTCACGTATAGAATAGTAGAACATTGGAAGACCACGTCTACCCAAAAAAGTCAAAGGAACACCCAACCTTTATACTTAGTCATGGAACCATCTAGGTAAAGTTTCATTTGACTAAAGGTTTTGTCCATCTCCAACCTTGCAAACCCGACAAACTGATCTTCCTACAAACTATCCAATAGCACAAATCACCGACCAAACATCTTGTCTAGCGCTTACCCTATAAATAGAGGGTCACACTCCACGATATCAAAATATGACATTAAATCTCAATATTAATATCAAATATCAAATTTATATTGATTTGAACATTGGACCGATGAATGTTCAAGCTCATTTCCAGTCACCTACTCAGATCAATTCCGACCTTGACCAAAAATCTCCATGAACAATAGCTATTGAATTGAATTTTTATACCACAATCAAAATGGGAGACGTTGTACGGTGGGCTGCACAAGGTTTTTGTTATACTTGACCTTGGGAGGTCGTACAACTCTTCCATTCAAGCTAAAGGTCTTCACATTTTACTTATTAAAAAAAAAAAGTCTTCATATTTTTTTTCTTTTATTTCCACCCTGCAAACCACAAATAATTTTTTGGGCCCATGTTTGTTAACTATTTTTTTTTTAATTTTCTATTTTTAAAAATTAAGTTTATAAATATTTCTTTGTTTTATAATAAAAATTATTTCTAATACAAGATTTATTTTTTTTGAACTAAAAAAATAATTTCAAAAACTTTGTTTCTTTTTTAACGTTTGGCTAACATTTAGAAACGTTTAAAAAAAAAGTTGAAAAGGCATATTAAAGAAGCAGCTAGAAATCAAACATAATTTTCAAAAATAAAACGCCAAAAACAAAATCAACTACATAATTCTTGAAGATAATTAACGTTTGGATATAATTATATCGGATCTTGTATTTTGTATTGTAGAGAGAGTTATTTTAAAAGAAAAATTACATTTAAGTCATCTACATAAATCACACCTCAATCAATTAATAACCAAGATTTCAAATATCAATGAATATTTATAAAAAATCATAAAAAATTTCACCATCTTTTTAAGTGTAAACATTCTTAATAATATTATGTTGACAATAATGATATTTTAGCAACATTTCACTATATTTCATCATTGAAAATATTGATGATTGACATGTCAGTGAAAACTTAGTACCCTAACCATCATAACGACAATAATTTGCAAGAAAAACAAATGCATTTTTCCAATGAACTTCAAAACATATGTATTTTCATAAAAAAATTCCAAACGGTCAATCTAAACATAGCTCAACTAATTAAGTATATATCCATAGCTCAACTAATTAAGTATATATCCTTAGTCAAGAGATCAGAGGTTCGAATCTCTACCTCCACATATTGAGGTCTACCTCTAGCATCGTGCCCGTGGCCCACTCATTAATTCCAAGGATACTTCACCCACCGGTCTTAAAGATAACAAGAGTTCTAAAATATCAAGTTTTCACCTATGGGCTTAAACCCAAAACCTTGGAGGGTATCTCCAAACATCCCCTTGCTAGTTGCTACTAGGGTCACCCAAGGGTTACATCACCCATCCTCATCACTCATTCTCTTTCAACTGCTGGCTGCTATATATATCTATGAAATTTCACAATCACTTCCCAAGAACTCCAAACATCACAGGACAGCAGAACAGTTACCAGAAGGGCTTGAAAAAATTCCTCTGAAATGCTCTGCTCTGTGCCTTTATATCACATGATTCATGAGACAGGCTTCTGAAATTTTCCATGAACCCACACCCGCTCCATGCTCTTTCCATTTCGACGATTCGAGGACCTCACACAACAATATTCCAGCTCGAGCTGCAGTCACAATCGTGCTATAAAATTAGCCATGACGGTATCGATCATTTCATCAACTCTGAAGTGCACGTAATATAAGGTGGGTAATACAAGAATGGTGACAGGAAGAAGCCATATAACCATTTGCCATCGGTTCGAGTATAAAACTATATAATTGTAAACTTTTAAAAGTTTTGTTCATTTATTCAATGATGAGTATATATCCACATGAGAAGGGAAAAAAAGTGTAAATAGGTGAGACACTAAATTGAAAAGTATTAAAACCCAAGGTATTAAATTGAGACTTTCTAAACAATAAGGATTAAATTGAAAAAACACTCCACCATCAGGGACTAATTAAAACATATATTTAGCCCCAAAAAAATTGTCTAGAACTACCTCTAGTATTATGACAAGTGTTGAGTGTCAAAAAAGATTTGGAATTCTTGTTAAATGAGTAACAAAAAAGATTAACGGCAAGAATTAAAATTATTTTTATGCGCAAATTTGAGAAACTAAAACAAAACATTTGACAGAAGAGTTACCTCAATAAAGCCTGCAGTGACGAACAAATCTCTCAATGTATTTAAGCAGAAGAAATAAGAACGTGTTCCATCTAATCTAACATACTCCCTGAATCCCACTCTTTGATCTGGCCTGAATCGAAGCATAGTCATATCATACAGACCTGAGTTTCAATAAATCGAACATCAATCAGCAGGAAAGTTAGAACACATTAGACGTGGCTAGAAGGAGTTAAATAACTGAACTCTTGTAAATTTTTGTCACTTATTATCTAAAAGAAAACTAGAATATCGTCCTCAGGCTACCCCTAATCGATTACCATAATCCCGAAAAAAGAGCAGGCCTCCGGGCTTCAAAACCATAAAGCATTCTCTGATTGATGCTGGCATCCTCTGGAGAGGCACTGCTGATAATGTAAATATCTGAAATAGTGAATAGCCAAAGAATCATTCAACTGTTATTAGATTACCAAGAGACCATTAAGACTTGCAAATTAATGATGTTAACAAAATATTGGTTTTACCCTTGGTGGTGTTGGCTAAAAGATTTGGCAAAGTAGTGAAATTAATACCTCAAGTATGTTAAATTTTCATTTTAATAAAAAATTGTGGCTGGCTAACATTATTTCTGGTCTGACAATACTATTTTTGTGGATTGGATTTACAATTTTTAGATAGGTTCATACATCTTATTACTAGGATATTAAGTTTACATGTCAACATTTCCATATGTCCTTGGGTTTGACATCAACACATGCAGGGAATTGACACTTCTATAATATCGTTAAAAAAATTCACAAAATATTAAAAAATATAAACAAAATATCACTAATATGTACATGATATCTATAATAAGAACTTTAACACATTTAAATAGGATTAAATGCTTATTCGTTGATTTAAATATTTTTTAGGAATTGCTTTTTTTATAGGAAGCAGAGACTATTAATAAAGAAGGAGATACGCAGCCTGTGGACAGAGGATGAGGAGACCCTGTAAAGAACTAATGAACTAATGAAGTGTAGCCTTCCAATCTCGAGTCATCATAGCAAATAATTTTTATTATTATTTTTTGGAAGTGATAGTAATCAAATTTTGAAGTGTATAATTGAAGACTTGTAAACCAATGCCATGGATTAACTTGAAGTAAAGGAGGTACATACCAGCGTAAGAAAATCAAACCCACCAATGCAACATCCACTTTCTGCTAATGCAAATGAATCGGTGGCTTGAGATCCTTCAGTCTCAACAAACATAGAGAAAGATGAATAAGGGTGTCAGAAAAGCAATAGCTTGCAGTTTTAGTTATGTCTAAAGGGATTGGCAAAATAACAACCTGGAGTAGTACAACTCGGCTGCAGTTTCAAAGTGTTTTCGCGGCACGAATTGCAGGCCAACAATGTTGGAAACTTACTAATAGAAAAATCACAGCAGAATGGATGGAATCGATCATTTACAGATGCAATACCAGTACAATTCAAAATCTCTTTTGCTCTGTCAAGAGTTTCCGTGCTACAATCGCAAGCATAGACAACAATGTTCTCGTTCCCACTACAAAGAAAGTAATCCTTTGTAAGGAGTTATGAGACTGCTGCTGCCTGCTGCAATTAGCCTTCACTTACTAATGCATGAGATAAAGGCCTAACAGTATGCAAATGCACTGAAAGCACTGTGATGTCCATAAAAAATTGATAATGCTTCCCTATAGATTGGACAATACAAGAATCTCTTGTTGCCACCATTAAGTTTCTGACAAGTGGGAGAGATGAACACAAAGAGGGAGAGAGAAGAGAGATTTTTTCTTTATCTCAAAAGAATAAATAGCAGTCAAAAATTTTGGTGGTAGGCACAGTCAGTACGAAAATATTATTCATAAAACATTTTTAAGGTTGTTCTCAAGTCCATAGTCAAGCCAACAGAAGATGCACCCATAACATCTAATAAGGTTTCATTAAGGAATATCTATGATTCTACACACGAACAAAATTTGAAGAAAAATGTAAAGAATGCATCCAATCTTTCATCTAGGAAGCGAAGCTAGAGAAAATGACACGCCCATGTTCCAGTCTAACTGGTTAAGGTTTTAAAATCAAAAGGGTATTTTTTGTAGACCATTGGTAAATGGCCCAATTTGGCCACTCCATTATTAGAATTTTTAAGAAGCTCTATCTAAACTTCATCGAAGAAGCAACTAAATATCAATTTAATCGAAAATTTTCTCCGGAACATGAAAGAGTTAAACGTTATCTGTGTCTTGAAAGACAGAGAGATAAAGAAAACCATCACAAACATATATCTTACCGGTGATAAAATAGATAACTTGGATGGAGTACGATTTACGGTCTAAAACCAAATGCTGAAAAGGAAGTGAAGGATAAGTTCTCCCATGTATATGTGAAGGATTCTAACCAAATAAAGGAGAGATATAGATTACATTCATCTCCTAAAAATGTTCCTCTCACTCCTGAGCGAAAGCTAACCTAACCACAATATCACATTAAATCATTAAACAACCCAAAAATTTAAATTGATGAGTTATGGTAAATTTATTTCCTTTTTATAGATATTTTAATCCCTTCATATTATATTAAATAGAGAGCAAATGACATTACATAGGTTCGAATGTAGAACTTTTTGCTCCGATGCCATTAAACCACCGATCTAATTTTTTTATTTTATAGGTACTTTAACATATCATACCTTGAAAGAGGTGTGGGAGTAATTTAGACCTAGACCATGCAAAGATAAGCCCAAAAACCCGGGTATATACCGAAGAAATTTAGGGAGATGACAAAAAAATGTGGAAAAATCAAGCATAATTTATAAGAACCGGAGTTCAAAAATGAAATGGTTATAGCGCCTAAGCAACTCATCAACACCATTAAGAAGTAAAGCTGGGGAAAAGTTCAATACGTTAGAGTTACCGCAAGATTGGAAGAGCAGTGCTTCCATTACCGCAACCCACCTCCAAGAGTTTGGAACACTTCTTACAGGAAACCAATTCAGGGAATTCCTTCAACAAATATCGCCTTTCCTGAATCCAAACAAACGTACAGAACAAAAATCACAACCGAGCTGAGAAAAACGAAAAAGTTAGGTTAATACAAAATGTTCCAATGCTAAAGGGGAATGAAAACCTTGAAGAACTTGCCAGAGGAGTGGCGAAGGTGAAAGCGCTTCCAGGCGTCTGAATCGGCTTCGGCGGAAACAGAAGGAGAGCGATCGGAGGGCTCAAAGGGAAGCAAATGGTGTCGCAAAAACGGGTCATTCTCGACCCGGGTTCGAAGATCCTCCCAATCGAAGTCTTTGGAAAAATATTGAGCGGCTTCCCCCATTCACCCCCTTAGCTTCTTCTCCCTCCAATAATAATGGAGACTTAGGGAGCGAGCTTCGAAATTCAACTTTCAAATCAAGCAATTCTCCAGTCTCCACCAGAAAATCGAGCTGCTTCTAATACTTGAATTGCGCTCCAATTTTTGGATACTAAATTGAAGGAATTGATCGAAAATAATATTAAAGTGAGAAATTTTGTTAGAAATTTACGAATTTTAGAGATTTAATCATGTAAAAAACTTAGGCTCGCGAGGATTCAAGACTGTCGAACGGTATTATTCTATTATTTTATTAAAATTCATATCTCTTATATCTTTTACTTTTTCCAAAACTCACTTGTAGAAAATAAATCTAAGTAAGCTTGAAATCACAAAAATACGAAAATATTTTTCTATTTATTTTTTAGTACAATAAATCGAGGGTATGGAGATTTTAACTCCTTGTTATTACCGCTAAACTATGTTGGTTATCTTATCTTTTGTATTAATCAAGTTTAAATTGTGTAAAGGAATTTTTTTTTCTTTATTATTTTTTGTTAAAATTAGTGTAGCCTCAATTTGAACCAAATGTGAAAAATGCATCCATTATTTTAGTTCATTATTCAATTTAATAAAATTAAAAATTTGATATACAACTTATACTAAATGTTGAATTAATTTAATGATATTAAAAGTTTAATATAAAACTTCTTTTTAGAAAAACAACTAGAAAATTAAGATAAAACATCAAGACGTAATGAAGCTAAGGGCGGGTCGAACTTTCTAGGGTCATTCTTCAAGTCAAATTCAATCTTCTTGAGAGATCATTGCCTGCCTTCTTTGCCAACAAATGTGCAGCTTGTTGCCTTGATATTGACAAATTTGTATTGATGCTGAAAATTCCAGAAGTAATATAAAACTTGATACAACTTGCTAGGTTAAAGATTAAATGTTGAATTTTTACTATCCCTTTGGTTTCGATATGTATTTCTTATTTTGGTGGGAAGACAACATTATAAAGATTAGTAAACAATTAAGGTTGCCGATATTATCATAGTTTAACGGTTAAGACACCTTACTCTTTCCTTTGAGATCGGAGGTTCAACCCTCATTTATACATCTTTTGTACTAGAAAAAGACGATTCAACCTTAACCAGCTTTTGATTTATACATTCAAAACATTTAAATTTAAACCTAATTCAATGATCATATTCACTAAATACTAGGAAAGTTGTCTCAAAACCTAATTAACTTGGTTGGGTACTGCATGATTATTGAATTCTAACTTCAACATGTGAACTATGACCCATGAATAGTAGAATTAAAGAAACAAATTATTATTATGAATTGGATGAAACACCAAAGCCAAAAGAGCCCTCTGTCTCATACACTTTTGCCTTTATCAAAAAGGGATTTGCACCAAAATCCCTTTGGACCTGAATTTAAATGCAAAAAATAGATACACCTTGGAGAAATATGTGGGATTTGCTCCCACAAAAGGGTTCTTCACCATTTTCAAAGTACCCTTTTTTTTGGTTAATTTCAAAAGGTTTACTAGAAAAAGTTGAACAAGTCAATGAGTTTTGCAAAAAGGCCACACCCAAAAGACAACTTTTCAATTTTCTATCAAACCCATCTTAAAAGATTTAATTTTTTTTAGCATTTTTTTAGATCATTTGAATGATAATCATTTAAAGGGTTGAAAACCAAATATGATGTGATAAGAAAAGCAAAAGAGGTGAGTTTGAGACATACTTATACTAATGGTTTGTGGTTTCATTTAAGGGAGAAGGTGTAGTGTTGGATCCCTTTATTGGATATTATTGTCATCCTCCAATCAAACTTGGAAGATTCCCATCAAGTCATTACCCATCCTATCTAAAACCTTTTTAAAAATTAAAAGTTTTTTTTTCCTCTCAGAGTTGAACCCATGCAGCTTAAGAATTAACCCACGATATTTTTGTCTTTTTGTTCGAGAATATGTCTTAGAAAATTGAACTACCCGCAGGTTGACAACATGTTCGTGTCTTAATTTGTTCAGAAGACAATAATTCAATAATACATCAAATTTTTTATTAACAAGTTTTAACAGTTTTTTTTTACCAGATGACATAATTGAGAAGCTTTAATATATCAAGGATAAAATTAAGAATTTTAAAAGGTTAAGAACCAGATTCAAACCTACCTAAAAGATTAGGGACCATTAAGACATACCACATCATAAGGTAAATAGAAGTTACTACTAACCCAACCCAACCCGATCCCGGATGTTGTTTTACATCAAGAAATCATAATCTTTGTGAGTTCATCAAATAACATTGTTCATCACAAGAAGATTAGTGCATAGAAATCTAAATCACCAAAGAGGTGTTTGTTTATATGATCAAATTGGAAATTGCAAACTGTAACTACAACAACCTTTGTTCCATCTAAAGCAAAAAACAGGAGAGAATTAGAATTAGACAGCAACAACATGCAAATACACCATGAAAGGTGGAAGGATGAAAACTTGGAAAGGGGAAAATAAAATGCAAAGAGAGCATAAAAAAGATTTAAAAAAGAAAAAATAAAGAAAAAAAGAAAGAAAAGAACTTCTAAAGAGTTTGTTATCACCTTTACAGTATGGTGCATACTACAACCAGAATTAGCTCTAAGACAGAGTGAAAGAGAAGATTGCTGGCATGGCAACTGTTGATATTGTACATTTTATCTACGACAAACTTTGCAGTCCCGTCCTGTCCCGTCCTGTCCCATCCCGTCCCTTTTGTTAACTCTTAATCGGGAATCTGATCGTAATCTCCGTTTTCGGGAGAATGATGGCTTGTTCTTCCTGCAAAAAAGCTCACAATCTCATAATATCACAAGTTCGCAAAAGGGAAAAAGATGAAGAGATTGTGTGCGTCTTTTTGGTAATCAAATTATACCTGTCAAATCGTAAGCACTGTTTGTGGCATCCAGACCCATCCTCCAGTCTGTGGGCCGCTGAGATGTCAGATTCACGCCCCGGGGCTGAAGCAAGAAATGACCCTCCCCAATGCCTTGGTGTTCATCATTTCCCCTGACTTGATTACCTCCTGAGTCGATGGTCGAGCCATAGCGTAGACCCGACATCGACGTCCCACCAACAGGTGAGGGCAACTTGCCAGCAGATGCGTCACCTTTTGCACCACCACCAACGTCCTTCTTTGGGTCGATCACAAAAGTACCAACAATAACCTGACATGGACGGGACCGTACCGCACTAAGCAAAAAAGTAATATATCTAAAACTCTTTAAGACTACTAACTAAATAGAGTTACATGAATGCAATAAAACATTCAAGCATCAGACTAAAATCTCATCCTACGTCTGTCCAGTGCCTAGAACTAAATTTATTCAGGAAAATACAAACAATACAATCAACAAAATTAATCGACTATCATACCTGCACGGGTCCAGCAGCCTTCAATGGTCCACCGACTCCCCCTCCTATGATATGACCATCAGAACTAGACAAACATACACTAAGACCACCAGTCTTTCCTCCGATGTCAGTACGTACATAAGATCCGCATAATGAAACAATCTCAAAACGACCCTAATAGTATCATTCCGTGCAAGTAATTATTATAATGCATAAGTCATAATAGATAAATTTCCGGAGGAAAAAAAACAGAGATCATCATCAAAACAAACAGCCAGATTATCTCTTATCCATTTTACACAAAATTATATCAATAATGTGAATGAAATTCATCTGCGATTGCATATTTATGTTATTCTGCTACAAAGTGTCGTTTTCCTTTTCTTTTCTTTTGTGCACCAAAGAGAGAAAATACAACATCATATGGAGAAAACCCAAGTACCTCATACGTAATATTGCCTCCGGATGTGGCTGGCTGACGGAGAGATGCATTGGAGATCGAACCAGAAGCAGAAAGGATACAGATTTCCCGCTTGCATTGCTGCATAAACAGCATAATTTTCTGGCCAACATCCTATTCAACATGACCGTAGTTTGGGTTAAGAGGGTAAAGCAGACAAGGGATAATCATATCTCAACAATCATATAATATAGAGTATCCATATGCCAATATTAAATTAAATTGACTGGTAAACTTGTAAGAAGACAACCAAATATGTGCTTTTTTTAACACAACAGTCAGCTACAAAAGACGAGGGAAGAAGAATTAAGAATTTCCTCCATATCTATCAGTTAAAAAAAGAGCTTTGCTGTAGCAACAAATTAGTAACTTGGAATTTTCTTTTACTGTTCCTTGAAAATGTATAATGCTATTAGCAAATCAGAAAGATGAACACTGGATGACTTTTGAAAAGGGGAGAAAAAAAAATTATTGATGAGAAATCCAAAGTAACGTCCTTTCCCTTTACGTCACAAAACAAGGATAATTTAGCTATTAGATAAGTAAAGATAATTTCATTGACAGAATGAAAACTCTTCAATTGAGCATCAACCAAAGATCTAGCAGATTAGTACTCTCGACAATTCTTTAGGGAGGTGTGGCTTGAACAAATAAGACTCTTTTAGTGATATGAAATGGGTATCATAATCTTTCACTCTTAGTTGGAGCCTGCTCTCAAAGGGCCTTCTGTAAATATTTCTGTTCTCTGATTTGACCCATTGGAGAGCTTTTTATTTCCATAACAATCCCCTATGATTTGGGTGGGTTCTTATCCCCTTTCTTACTATTCCTTCATTAAAAAGAGGAGGAAAAAAAAAACCAAAAACTTCATGAAGAACACTCCAATGAGAAATAATCCATCTAATGACAGCCCATATCAACTCCAAGGAAACCCGCATATTACTCTTGCATCGGCTTCAAAAGGCTGCCTGCATGACATATTGAGAATGAATTCTTGAGGTATAGAGACACACCATTTCACCAAATGAACAAGCGATTTGCATCTCCGCTAAACTTTGCACTAGCATCGCTACCCTAAAGAGAGAGAGTACAAGAAGGATTCCTCTTCTGGAATATACCCATTATTGATGCCTCCAAGAAAAAGAGTCACATAACATCTAAAACTTCTTCAGGCCTTCAGATTTCTAAATTTTTTTTAAAGTACAACATGTGGGATGGGAGATTGAACACAATCTCTTTGTTGGAGATATATATCAATTACCGCTGAGCTATGCTCGTTTTGGCACCTTCAGATTTCTAGATTTCTAATCACAACTTCGAGAGATGATAAAATCATTAGCAGCCAGGTTATTAAACAAAGAATTAACAGAAAAAATGCCTCCAATCAATTAAGTAACCAGGTCCTAGAATCACTTAAGTTGAGGACCTTGATTCAGATGGCCATCTACTCTTATATCTCTCTTGATTCAGATGGCCAGCCCACAACAGCTCCACTTTGCTCAAACCCCAAATTGGCAATCCTGAACACTCCTCTTCTTGTTATAGGACAGAACAAAAATTCTTGGAAAAGGAACACAGAGAAGGGAGAAAATGAGAGATCATTTCTAAAGGAGTTTCTCAACCTGAATGCAAATTATCTATATTGTAGCATAACTATTTCAACAACTGTGACCGAGTTTCAAGCTTCACCAGAAGACAAGACAATAGGAAAAAGGAAGACTTGAGCCATCAATTTATCAGTTAGACTACATGGGCATAACTCGGAAAGATAAAGCTAAATTGATACAAATCCAAGTCCACAGAGAAACGAAAGAATGAGTTGTAATGGTTTTCTTTTTTGGGTGATGAAAAACCATACTTTGCTCGAGCAAATGAAAGGATAAAATAATAAGAGGAAGAGGAAGAAGGGAAAAAAGAAAATAAAAGAAGAAGCCCAGATAAGAAAGATCCAGTACAAAAAACCAAACTAATGAGTCTTGAAGTTCTCCCATACTTCTAATTCTGAAGAGTTGTAAAGTTTAGTATAAAATAAGTAGCTATAACTATAAGAATAAGGAGATCGCATCAACTCACAGAGAAAAATTTACACAATAACACCGTAGCAGATAACCAACGAAACATATACAAAGTCCTTCCTTTGACAGCAAGACTGTGAAGGAACCAACAATGTAATGATCATCAATTATTGTTTGATTTTTGCCCTTAATTCCAATTCATATTTTTCAAGTTTTCCTGTTTGCATGCAGCATATTACTCTATCAGAAATGAAACACGACCATAGTGGATATTGCAAATAAGCTTGCCACTCTCTTATTCAAAAATGTGAAGCACTTAATTTAATTCTTCCAAAAGCCATGTGATAAGCATACCTTACGCATATTCAAGAATGTAAATCTAAAACTACCTTTGTGTGTGTGCACAAGTACACGAACATGTGCTCTGATAATGTGAGAGGGGTACTAAGAAACCATTCTCATATGCAAGACGTCCTCAATTTTTTCCATCACCATCCACTATTTATAAGGATTCTCAATTGTATAGGTTCTCAGTTGTGTGTTTTCTTGTTTAAATTACATTTCTCCTGCATTAGCATTACAAGACCTTTTAATTGAGACCTGTTAAAAAAATAAATTAAAAGAGAGGAGACGATTTTTTAATAATGTACCTGAATAATTATTTTTCAACTCCTCCAATATTCCAAATTACCATGTCTATTAAGAAACCAAATAGATATTCTTGTTTTACATATCTCCCTCACAAGAAGTTGAACCTGCACCAAGAGTTTTGTTTTATTTTTCTTCTTTCTGCACTCTAAAATGCCCCAACCATTTCATGTTCAATAGGTTCAGAATTATGAACACTTCCATTGCATAATTTAGATCAGAAAATTCATGGGACCAAGTAGGTGGCCTGAAGATTCTTAATACCGAAGTCTCTAAAGTGAATTACATGGATTTAAGTCCTAGTACCTATTTTTCATGGAGTAAAATTATATTTTTTTGAGTTTTGTATAGGTACGTCGTGGATGGCTACTTTTTCTCCTTTTATTTTACTCTTCCATGTCTACTTTCATCTCTTCCAGGAAAACTAGAAAACTTTGTTTGCTTTCATTTAAAACCAAAGCGGAAAAAAGGGAAAATGTATTAATAATTTAAAAAATGAAGTACAATAGAAGGGAAGATTTACTGCTTTTAAATAGGCTTATTTTCCACAAGAGAAAAAAAAAGTATTATATATATAATCATAAAACTACTTCAAAAGACTTGCGAACAGAATACCAAGTCTTGCATTGTGCCCACCCCCCAAAAGAAAGCAAAACAAAGAAAAGGAAAGAGTGAAAGAAAAAACAGAAAACCATCTGCAGAATCTGTACAACTGGATATCATGCTCCATCAGAGAATGAAAACTCAACCAATTAGTTGAAAAGGCAGACATGTCCTTCAAATTTAGAAGTATTATACATTCAAGCCTTCAAATAACATAAAAAACATCCCATGCAGAAACAATAATATATCAGACCAAAACTATATTAAAGGGCAATATACTCGGAATTAAACTAAGAAGCTATCAACTGCAAACGCACATTTCAAAAACTCTACACCCAGATGCAAAATAGAATCCATCAGAAAATAGTATTCAAGATCATAAAAATTCTCTTGAGATCTTAAATGGTCTTGGTGTCCTATTGCAGTAGCATCATACTAAATATATATGCAAGGACAGCATAAGTGATGTCCCATATTCTTCCGTAAAACTAAGGAGCAGTTGTGTTAATTGTATACCACCCACAATTTTTAGCTATATCATTGTATAGGTACATGCAAATGCAAATGCCTGCACATAACATGCACTTCAATTACATCAATATAAATGGAATCAAGTCTCTCGAAACTATGGAGAATGCATTACCTCACCAGCTGCCACATTAATAACATGTGGTGCAAAACTTTGGCCTGCATTACCTACATCTCCAGTTAGAAGAATAAATTCCAAGTAAGTGTTCGAGCACATATCCATGAGTGAAATAAAAATAACAAGTAAACGAAATTAGAAAGAAAACATATTACTGATAAATCCCCAAATAAGCAGACTGCAAGACTGGAAACATGTTATTTCAGAACATGGAACCATTACAAGCATTCGTAAAATATTGGAAAATCATGGCAGAGCTTCTGTTTGCATCTCTTGTTCAAAATATTTTTCCAACTATTCCTCCTAAAATATTAACTCCGATTGATCTTTCCAATTTGAAACAATTACAAAAAAAATTTCAAGAAATCCAACGAGAACAAATAAATTAATGAACTTTGGTCTATTCTCAAAATAAATGAAAATTGTTTCTTGTGGGAATCATGGTGCAACATAACTGGTGATCAAGAAAGTTCATTATCTACAAAACGAATAAATAAACCCAAGTAAAATATCAGCCATTAACTCTATCTTTATCCTAGAATTACTAAATTCAGCCACAATTTTGATTGAGGAAACTCTAAGGGCTAAGCTATGTCGAGCTCAATTACTGAAAATTCAGGAAACTCCCTAAACACTACAAGGGAGTTGACATGGCTTTTTCTTGAAAAGAAACGTAAGTAGGGTTTAAACTTTAAAGCAAAAGCTTCCAAAAATGGAGACCAGAACGAAATCTCAATTCTCAACCAAGACTAAGAGGAAATAGGGTGAATTCCAAGACCACAGGAAAATTTCACAAAATTCACAAAATTATAAACAAGGGCAAAAGAAAAAACAAGAATTAGAAGGAAATTAGTGGGGGAAAGAGAAAAAGAAACAAAACCCACCAAGTGCTGCCAACTGGGATTTCTTGGAAGGGGCAGAGAAGGAAGAAGAAGAAGCGGAGAGAGCATTAAGGGAAGAGGCGTGGTGGTCCCTCTTGGCCTTGGAGGAGGAAGAGTGAGACGACGCCGTAGCAGCTTTCTTCGCAGCTAAAGCTTCCTCGGGAGTGCCGTACTTCCTGGGGCGGCCCCTCTTCCGGCGAGCGGGCTCGAGGGGCGAGGAGGAGACCGCGGCGGAGGGCACGGAGTGAGGGTAGACGCCGTGAGAGCCGCCGTCTGCGGCGGCGGCGGTGGAGGAGAGGTGGTGGGTGGGGGGTAAAAGTCCATTGGTCGGCGATGTGGTGGTGGTGGTGGGACTTTGATGGTGGTGCTGATGGTGGTGGAAGTAGGAGCTGAGCTGGTTTTCATTGGGTTCCATTTTTGAGATGAGAGAGAGAAACAAAGAAAGAGAGAGAAACAGAGCGTGTGTTTTGGAAAAATAAAAATAAAAATTAATAAATAAATCCTTTTTTTTCTTTTTTTGAAAAGGATTTGCCCTTTTCTTTCTTTCCTTTTTTTTTCTTTTTTTCTTTTGTGTGTGTATCTGTACACTACCGATTTATATTTATCCATAATATCTCATAAATAAACAATTCTTTTTATTTATTTATTTATTAAGTATTATGAGATTTGACTCTCGTTTTTTCCCTTTGACTTAACTCCATCTTCTTTAGGGTTTCTTCTCACCTTTTTTGGCTTCCTTTTCTTTTCTTTTAAATTACCATTAATTCATTGCCTCTCTTTGTAAGAGTAAAATTTTACCTTGGAACTTTATATATATGTGTGTAACTTTTCGGGTTCAAAGATTTTGGAGAAGTCAAATTAGAGGGAAAAAATTGAAATAATGTATATATTTTTTTTGAATTTATGACAAATGTTAAATTTAGATTTATATTGAATAAATAAATGTGATTCATTTTTGATATTTTTTAATTTGATTATCCGTTTAAAAATATTTTATTCCTCTTTTAAAATAAGCTTGTATTTAGTCTACTTCACAATTAGTGTCTTTTAATTAGAAATCAATTTATGCATTTCAACAAGTATTATAAATATAATACATGAGAAAATACATGGTAATAACGAAAACTTCGATACCCAAATGAATTCATTCCCCTTTTTTATTGCTGCAACACACCAACCGAAGTAGAAAGCGAAGCTCCAAAAGGAGGAAATTTATAATTTTGTACTTGAAGTATATATCATTTTCAATCTTTTTCCATATCTTTTAAATGTTTTAATCCTATCTTTTATATATTAAGTTCTTCATTAAGCTTTTAAGAATGAAGGCTATGGAAATTTAATAAAATTTAATTCTTTAATAAGATAGTCCATTTATGAAATAAGTATCTCTCTAATTGTTACAAAAAGAGTTTCGTATCTACCAAACCTTGACAAAAGTCTTAAATTTACAAATTTTTGTTGCAAATAGTGTGTTGATTCTTTCTATTTGTGATGGAGATGCAACGATCCCAGTTCAATCGTAAGTGACAAGCTAGAGTAGTACCATCAATAAACCTAAATACAATAATATGCCAAATAAGTACCTTTATAATAATTGTTGTATCAATTGAAAATGACGACCGTTAGCCTATTGTCACTTGTCACTAAATAATGATGAACGTAGCTTGCTTAGAGCACCACATCATAGAGTCATGCTCGTAACTCAAGCTCATTTATTCTCTCGTGCTCGAGTGTCACATTAAGTACGAGTAATTCAAACTTACCTTTCAAGTTGTGTCGTAGTAGGTCTTTTAAGAGTTGTGTTGCTTGTGTAGTTTGATTGTTGACTGAGTTGAGTTGTGTTGCTGAGGTGACTTAGTTATTTAGGCAAGTTGTCCAAAACTTGGCTTCATTAATGAAATTTGACCATAAAATAAGGCCAGCAAACATGCCATATAATAAAATGATAATAGACCATCTATGTAAAGTTGTAAACCAATCACCAATACTCTAATAAATATGAAGTTTTGCTTATTAAAACGAGTCTAAGTTTTTTATATGTATCAAATCTTCGGTTAAAATGTATATCTAAACAAGATGATTAAAACCTCTAATATAAAGAAAAAGATATTTGAATTTATTTTCAACTATTAATTGCTTTAACTTAAAGTTGCCTCAATAATTCATCTTTGAAGTTTAGGATTTGGTTGAACTTATGTTAGTAGGTGGGTCCAACTCAAGCCCAACTGAATTCACTTGCCAACTTTTAAATTTCTAAACTTTATACCTATAACTATAATGGGCATTGAAACTTTGGAGAGCATAGGATTGTGAGTAGCCCCAATGTCTAATTTGGAGGGGTGTGCCAAAAGATTCATCTTTTCAAAACCTACATAAAATTTAAGGTTAGGTTGAGTAGGTTAAAACTATTCCCTAAAGTGAAATAACTCAAAACCCAAATTTCCAGGGTTAGATGCAAAATCTAGCAACATGTAAAGGCATGAGTTGCAAATTTGGAATGACTTTTCAAAGCACTCCTAGAAGAAACACCACCTCAAAAGCACTTTTAAGTGTTTTTAGAATTTTCTAAATCATTTTTAATCATATAACTAAATGCCAAAAATTTTCTAAAAAGTATGGCTAAGAGTACTTTTCATCATTCCAAAAGTCATATCAAACTCACTTGAAAGCCGTTCACCTTGGTGCATCAATTAGAAAAAAAAAATGAAACAAAAGAGAAAGTTTCAAGGGGAAAATATCTCTTTTACCAGTTCTTTGACATCAATATTTGGTCTTGAAGACAAGTGATTTGAGCTCCTAGAGTTTCTTCTTCTTCCCAAGTAGTAATAATGACAATCGAATCCCTCAATAGCTATAATCTTAAATGTTTATCTTAATATTAAACGGTACAACTGTACAACCTAAGCTACTGTCTAAGCCTAGCAGAATTACCCAGTTAACTCCCTAGATTGTGTTTCAGCCAAGAGTTCTAAAATTACCCTCAGAACTCCATGCATTTGCCAGTAACAGCATTCACAATTAATAATACTTGTTCATCAGATTCTTATTGCATATCTCAACATTTCCTGCCAACCAAATATTTCCAATTTCAGCACTTGGAAAGTAAAAGCTTTGATTTTCCTGCTACATGAATCATGCTAGAGATTTAAGGTAAGTTAGATAAGACACCCCACTTTGCAGCCGGGTGGGTCTCAACTCGTAGTCGTGGGGATAAAGGCACTTACAGAAATCTTTTGAAAACAATCTTGTTGGTTTCCAAGTTTGTGAAGTTTTTTCTTATTCGTGATGGGTTGGTCAGATACTTTGTTTTTGGGAAGATCCTCGCTTGGTTTTCTCCCATCTTTATCACCCTTCTTCTATGGAAGTGCACTTTCGTAGCTTGTGTCTTTTCTTTATCTGGGAGTTCCACTTCATACAACCTTAGTTTTAGGCGTCCTTGTTCCAAAGGAAACCTTTTGAAGTGTTGTCTTTGCTTTCTCTATTGCATGGGTTCCATTTTTTGCCCTGGGTCTAGAAATCTTCATATTTAGACCCCCATTCTCTTGGACCCCTTGTAGATTATAAATTATTTTTGTCTCTATTGTGTGACTTTGGCCCTCATGGCCTCTCTCTTCTCTTCTTTGCCCTTGCTTTGGAAGGTTAAAGACTTCGAAAAAAATCAAATGTTATGTTTGCTGGGTAGTCTATGGGAGGATTAACATTGTCGACTTTATCCGAAGGTTTTCCTCCATGTTACCGAAGCCTTAGCGATGCATCTTGTAAAACTTTGGGTATGAAGATTTGGATCACGAGATGTAGAGATGTCAATTTGAAGTTTCAACATGGGATAATTAGAGATTTTTAGTGTACTTTCAGCTCATAATAGGTCCTGATGTTCGAATGTTGGAGGTAGTTTCGTCCATCGTTTTGGTATAAAGAAGTTTGACAATTGACATGTAATTTTTCGAGCAATTTTATCCGAATCTGACTTGAAAGGAATAAGATAATGTTTAGATGAGTTGAGAGTTCTCGAGGTGTAACCAAGGAGTTCTGTGAAACAACAAAAAAAAAATGTTACAAATTTTTTCCATCCAGATAAAGCATAAAACAAAAGAGCTACCAAAGAAGACAACTCCTCGAATGTCAAATAAATACTTAACCTCAAGCCCTTCCAAAAAAGCCTCCAAACTATGGTGGAAAAGGAGTACAGACACAAAAAAATTTATTCAACTTCTCATTTTTGCTCCCACAAAGAACACGCCAGTTGTTTCTGGTCCTTTTAAGAGGCTACCTTGTGTTTTGGGCTTTTTTCTTTTTGCATAACCCCTCCTATTTTTATCTTGATGAAAATTTGGGGTGGAGATAGTTCGGCTATTTCCATGCAACGTTTTCAGTTTCATTTTCGAGTGGACTTTAACAACATCACAACAAGATCGACAGAACTCAAGTGAGTTTTCAAGAACAAACAATGTCAAGAATCACGGGTAAAAAGATAGATACAAACCTCATACAATTCAACATTTCAGCAAATATCTTCCTTCCTCTTCAAACATGCATAAGCAAAACTGCAAAAGGTCTTCACATACCTTTAAGGAATAAGATACCACATTTTTTCTTGGCTGTTATACAGAAAATTCATCTACCTCCTATGTGCAACTGCATGAGTCGTTCATAGTTTATCGTTATCATCCTCACCATCAGTGGTATCCCTGGTAGATGATACAGCGACATTATGCGAGCTTTTAAGTTCTTCCAACTGCAACAGAAATACAAACCTATGAATTTAATTTCAAGAGGCTATAAAACAGGAAAATAACAAAACAGTTTAAAATTTTAAAAATCAGACCAGTTAATCTCAGGATATGTAATCAATAACTATTAATTAGAAAAATTCAATTGTAAGGTAGCAATATCGATATACAGACTCACAATCAAAGTTCCAAATTGCACATAGCCAATTTTGAGCTGAGAGCTTGACATTCTAGTTCTACAATCCTAAGGAGAATTTACTTCACGGGAATGTGGGAATGAGAATCATTCTCTCTTCCCATTTACACTATTTACTATGTTAGTTAAAGAATGTGATAGGACTTCCGACTTCTCAAAATACAGAAAACTAACAGAGGTAACACTTCAAGCTTGCAACTATTACATTAGCTTCCCTTCTAGATCCCTGATTTCCTCATCCTCTTTCTACCATAAGCATAAGTAAAACAAACTGGTGGTTAATCAACCGTATTATAATGACTCCCTACTCATTTCTGGATAGGATATGCTGATGTTTCCGTTCTCCAATTTTGGTAGATTAAAACCACCATTTTTCTTCACCTTTTTTTTCTCTTGTTTCCCTACTTTCTTCGCGTGTCCTACACCATTTAAACTCCAAGACTTGATCAACTAATCATACTAGTTAGTGTGGCAGACGATATAAAAATATATATAAGACCAGTGTTTTAAACGCACTTCTGTGTCTTGCCATTTTTGCTTTATTTTATTCTTTCAAATTTTTTATGGGGACATTAAAAATTATCCCCCCCAAAACCCTCATTTCTCTAAACAATCTCCTACAAAAACTCTAATTTCTTAAAACTTTCATTATCTTATTATTTATAATATTATATTTTTACGCTTCACGCTTAAGCTCCCAAGGACTTGTTTTAGTGCATCTTGCACTTTAAATGATATTCCTTAACAATTCTCTTCACTTGAGGGCTCAAAATTAATACAATATCCAACAAGTGACTGTCTTTATTAATTATAAAATAATAATAATAAAGAATAACATTATAGGAAACTGAAGTTAGAACCTCTTGCTCTAATACCATATTAAATCACCACTCAACTAAAAAGCATAAGCTGATAGATTATAATATACTAATTTATTTATATGTATTCTTAACAACAAGCAACAGTAGCGAGCCAGGTTACTTCAACACTACCTCTTTACAGGTTTCCTTGTGCGTAGATAAAAGCTCATCATACTTGACTCGTAAATCTGCGACCTCAGATTGTAACTTCTCATATTCAGCTACAGAGGGACCCCCTAGTCTTTGTTGAATAAATCTGTCAGAGAAAAGAAAAAATAAAAGTCCAATAATTACGTCCAATTGGAATGTACATTAATAAAAACTTTCGGAAATCTGACTACTTCATAATCTTCAATGAAATTTTCCTATAAATGTCAATTATATCGTCGAACTTTTGAAGATAAGTACTTTGAAGTTTGAACTTTCAATTATATCGTCGTACTTTTGAAGATAAGTAATTTATTGTTTGACTCTCTATAATACCACAATACATGCTCCTGTGGTTTGCTTATCATGATTAAGGAGAAAAGATTGACTTTTCCTCACAATTGTAAAATAAATGACTAATAAGAAAAAAATTCTGAAAAACGAATTTAGTCCAACTTTGTGTTCAAACAAACCAGAATTTTATGAATGAGTGAATAATGAATTTTAAAAAAAAAAAAATCGAAGCTTAGGAAACAAAACGAAGAAAAAAAAATAATAGGTTACTTAAGAGGTCAAAATAAGATCTAAACCCACTTGAAAAACTTGGTCTTGACAGCTTGTAACAGAGATCTACAACTGATTGGACGAAATTATTAGTCGATTCAGAGATTTTTATATGCCACTAATTACGAAAATAAAACATCTAACAGAGACATTATGCTCCATGAATTATCAGTCAGCTACAAAACTAGATAGTTAGAACAACGGTTAATCTCAACTATTGATATTCCACTAACAATCACAGATTCACAGGGGCAAGCAAGACAAACGGATATGATCCAAGAACTCAAAGCAAGAACTTACTCGAGGGCAGAGGAAGGCTTGTCATTTTGCTCATATAATGCAACCAGAACTTCAAAGTTCAACCCACCAAAAGAAATGGAAAATGGAAAATTTATCAAAAAATATAAACAAAGAAAGAATTGCAGGAAGGAAAAAAGAAAGACGGAGAAGAAGCAGAGAAGTGGCGAATAAAACCAACCTTTGGTGAAAGCATCAACAACGCCATTCGACTCCAAATACTTCCTAAATGCTTCCTTCTTCGCTTCCTTTTCCTAAATCGAAGAAATGGGATCCCAATTATGACAGAGATAGAGCGATACAAACGAATTTGGATGGACAATTTCCATGGAAAGAAGCAAAAGGAAGGTAGGGGAGAAACTAAAATGGGGAAATAGATCTGACCTCTTTGTGTCCCATGGGGGAGAAACGGTGGTTCCTCCTCCACAGTAGTTTGCTGGTTTGGTGTTCGATTCTTCGATGGAATCCGTCCCCATTTCCGCAAGAATAATGGTTTTGGGGCCGGCGGATGTCTGAATTCTGACCCGCACAGAGACTTCAGCCTTCGATTGCCGTGGCCCATGATGCTGAATTTCACCGCAGCCCAACATTACAGGATTTACAATATATATATATGCAGGGAATTTTGAAATGCCTAAAATTTAGGTCTTTTTTGGCAGATGAACAGGGCAAATTTTCCAGTCCAGTGGAATTGGAAATTTTTCTAGTGCTCCTCTAAGATTTTTTTCTTCACAAATAATTTATAATTGATGTTCCACGTGAAGGACAAAAATTTCAGTCTGGAATATGGATACTACTTTTTGTTATCAGCCACATTAGCATTATTTAGGAATGTATTTAATGGTGAGAGACTTTTTTACAATTCTGTAAGTTTTAGAGCTTAATTTTTAGGATTAGAAGTTTGTAGATGCAATTACGAAAACTACTGTAGTTTATGGTGATTTATGTAATTTGTAAATTGAAAGTTTATAAATATAATTGAAATGTATTAAAGTAAAATGTTAATAGACATAAGTATCAAAATGTTTGGACTAAAATTATAAGTTAATTTACTAAATTTATTAAAGTGATTATTAGATCATCATAAACTAACAATTTGTTTTTATGGAATTAAAAATATAGTATTATACTTCTTTGATAAATTTTAAAATGTACGCAATAAAAACAATAAGGAAATTTTGTTCTCCAAAAAAAAAAATTGAAGAAATTTTATAATTTAGTATGAGGAGATTTTCATTTTCTATACGGCATTTAGAAAAGGTAACCACTTTATGTATTAATTTGTCAAGATTTAAATATATGCCTGAATTTGTTAGAGCTTAATTTTGAATGATTCTTTGAAGATTTTAATTTTCTTTTAATTAGTAACTAAATGTAGAGAAAGTTCAATTCTAAAACTCGAAAGAGATGTCTTTTATTAGTACAACAACAACCTACAAAAGATATCTTAATCAGTTAACTAAGTTTGCAATGGAAAAAATTGTGATAAAATTCAATTTTAAAATTCAAAGAAATAAAATTGAAGATCGAGAGTAAAATTGATTGACCTTGCAAGTCCAAATAAAAAAATGTACTCTTTAAACAAATATTTTTATATAGTAATAGATTTTTTATACCATTTATCATATTTATTTATTTATTACAAAAATATTAATAGATTATGGATAGATGTTTATTTAATATCTGCCGCTTAAAAAGCGACTTATCTAGTCTCTAAAATTTGTAAATCGGTTCTAAATGATCCTTAATATAGTTTAATTGAACAATTTTAAAAGGACATGAAGTCAAACAATAAAATTAGTCCATTTTATAAGATTAGTCAACAATAAAGAAGTTCTAAAAACTCATTCTAAACTACCAAGTATTCATTTAAAAACTTCAATACTTCAAATTTTATGGACAAAAAGTATATTTTACCCTAATTTTAAAAGTCATTGGTTCAAATCGCCGCCCTACATTGTTGAACTAAAAACAATAATAATAAAATTCAGAAATCTGACCATAATTATGAGATATAAATGATGTAAATCAAGCTCTAATGGTTTTACATTAAAGGAAAAAAAAGAAGAAGCTGGTATTTATCCTTATTGTCTGCATTAGATATAATTATAACTTCATAAACCAAGGAATTAATCATAAACAAGAACGAATACTAAAAACAACTGTAAAGGCATCCCCTCTTGAAACTTGAAAGAGATACACTGCCCATTTGTAGACTTACAGTTGAGTTTAAAACACCTGAAGAAACAGCTACTCAATAGGAAGTCACTCTCACATAACACTGCTTTCTATGTACAAAGCTCCTCGCCATCGAATCGATCGACATTCATGTCGGTCTCAGTCCTCTTAATGCAGCAGCGAAGATCTGAACACGACACCAGACTACTCAGCAATTCATGTAGCCAATAATAATCGCATAACAAACAAGAATATCGATCATTTTATAGCGAGTTGGAAATGATTTTTTAGAGCATTTTTAGAAGGAAAAAAAAAACCATTAACCAAGTTCTTACTCTATAAAAGGTACTTTTCATCGTTCCACAAGTCATACTATCACTATTACTAGAATCTTTATGGTTTAAAATCCTACTCTTCACCTAAACTTTCAAATATTTCATTTTAGTCCTTCAAATGGGAAAAGTTCAGCTTTACTCCCTAGACTTTGCATAAAAGCTTATAGGTTAAATTACAAATTTAGTCTATAAATTTTAAAAATTGTATCTAATAAATCCCTAAACTTTCAATTTCGTGTCTATTGATCCCTAAGTGTTTAGTAAGTTCTTGAACTTTTAATATAATGTCTGATAGGTCATGGACCTTTTCGACATTTTACGATTGAATTTTGTTTCTATTATAACCTTAAACTTTCAATTGTCTAATAAGTTTGAATTTTAAAAAAAATGTTTAATAGGTCAGAGACCATAAATTTTCAATTCTATCTAATAAAAGTCTAAATTTAAAAATATGTTTAATAGGTTAGAGACAATTAAAATTTCATGAACTTATAAACATTAAGGACTTTTGAGGGACATATTAGACATAACTTAAAAAAGTTGAGAGACTAGACTTGTAATTTGATCAAACTTATTTTAGTCCTTGCTATTAATTTTCTATTAATCATTTTAACAAAAAAAAAATCTGAGTGGACCATTAGCCTATTTTCCAAGTAGATATCAATTCGTACCACTTCTTAAAGCGAAGTGCTAATAAAGGTTATTTTTGTACACAGCAATTCATGAAAACAAAGAACAGGAACACGCATACCTTAGGAGCTCCACTGTGCTGCTTTGGATGTGCACAAAGCGCCCGAGATCGAGAGTCATAGCTACTAGTTTGTTCCTCAATATTTTCTTGTGAAACCTCTTCGAAACCTCGGTGGAAGTTGGTAGGTTGAGGTTTATCTCCTTCCAAGAATTCAGTTCTGGATTTACCTGTCCTTCCAAGATCAGAGGTATAGTCGTGGACAGAAGTTTGCGGGTCCTGGTTCTTTCTTGGAAACTGAGTACCGGCTGCTCGAGCACCAGCTATCACAGCACGTGGTAGCTCAATATTTGCTCCTGAAACCTCTTCAAAACCTCTACAGAAGTTGGTAGATTTAGGTTTATCTCCTCCCAAGAATTCAGTTCTGGATTTACCTGTCCTTCCAAGATCAGAGGTATAGTCGTGGACAGAAGTTTGCGGATCCTGATTCTTTCTTGAAAACTGAGTAGCGGCTGCTCGAGCACCAGCTATCACAGCACTGAGTTTTGATGACTTCTCCCCTTCAAATCCTCCAGTCTCGGGAGAACATGAAGAAACAGATCCAGGCTTCAAGGAGAATGGATCTCGAGGATCTGGAAGTTGAAATTTTACAGGCAAGGGACATGTAACTCGGGTAAGACCTCTGACTGCTGCTTCAAATATCTGAACAGATATAATTTGATTTTAGAACATATGGGGATACAAAAAAGTAACATTAAGAAAAAAAAAACAAAAACAAGTTAGCATGTCTCCACCTTCTTTTCTAGGTTATAAACACGCTGGTAACCTCGCATCTCGAACGGAATCAGCAATTTCTAAAACGGTTAAAAGAAATGCAATCCAGCAAATCAGTACTTTGCTGAAATTTGATTTTATGTTCAAATCAGTAATGCATCAGTATGAAACACGGTACACACCTGTGGTTGTTCACAGAGCCAGCAGAAGTCAGTCTGTGCTTCTAATCTAACCTGCATTCAGATAAAATTGGTTTTTCTTTATTAAAAATGTGGTAACTCAATAAACTAACGTGTTGGTAAGGAAAAAGTAAGCTACCCACCCCTTCAGGTACTTTATCCCAGTTTTTCAGTTCATCGCCCTGAAGACAGCCAACAACTTCAACACACCCTAAATGAGAAGGACAACAGGTGAGAAATTGATATGTTACACATTTAATACACTCTATAGCTCTTGTAGACTAACAATCAGCATTTTTCAATTGGGCTTTAAAAGTTAGACTCAAGCTACATAAGTGGAAGTATAATTCATCTTCACCCAAAAAAATTAAAAGGCGTAAATAAATAATCAAGCATGGGTTTTTGGTTATTAGGAATCTCTAAGACTTTGCATGTTGTGAGAAAATTCCAAAAATTTTAATATCCTAAATAGATGTCCACCAGAAAACTTGAACTCGTACCCCAAAGTCCCTAGTCTAACAGAGATTCTTTTCATATTTACTATATTGGAAAATACAACCATTGTCAACATATATATTAATTTTTAATATCCTAAATATATATCATGCATGCTCATTGCTCAGGATAGACAATGTAAGTGTGCCGATCATGAAGATATGCAGTCATATCGTCCATAAGAGGCTCAAAATCACAGTCAAACGAGTGATGATCATGACAAGTGCTGTAATGTTTATATGTCAAGCTGAAACATATCAAGGCATGCACTTGGAGAGATAATATGGACCAGCAGCATAGACTCTCAGGTTTGTGGAAATCAAGATATCTATCAACATTATTATAACGCTGATTAATAATAAACTTCAGAACTGTAACTTTAACTTTATAGAATGTGATATTTCAGTTCCAGGAGTACTGCAATATAGTTAGGAAAGGGCACCAGAATAACACATCAACCAGTAACATAAGGAATGTGTATCATGAAAAATCATCACATTTAAATACCTAAAAGTCTTGAAACTGGATAATGTTCTGGAAACTTAAGATCAGTAATTCCATCCAAAGCATAAATTTCTCTGTAAAAGTCCTCCATTGCTTTGATTGTAGAATCCTCGGGAACCTTACTTGCAGCATGAATCCAAAGACGGCCTTCAGATATTAAATTGACAAGTTCAGGATTTAGAATAATCCTCACTAATTAAAATTATCACAAAGAAAAGGGAAATAAACTAACAAAGGATACACCAATATAAAAAATAAACAATGGAACTAAAATGAAACACATGCGCACACAAACATTCGATGTCCTACAATGTCCATATTTTTTGTGCCCGCGAGATTCGGCCATTCTTAGCTATTATGTCTGTTAACCCATTTGAGTTTCAAAGTCCTTTTGATTACCCCATTATTTTTAAATTTTCAGTCAACAGGATAAATTATCTATCAATAAGCACAGTTAATGATGATTTTGTTCTTTTAAGAAAAGGAAAAAAGAAGTTAAGCCTATAAAAACATCTTATACCAAAATTTTCCTATTAAAGTTTTCTTTGTTTAGTTTTTTACTTGTACAAAAATCTTGTTACAATTTTAAAAATAAAGACATTTTTTAGAATTTCAAAAAGGTTTTTGAAAAATGTTAGTAAATAAATAATTAGAAAATTAAAGACATAAATGCTACCAACGGATCCCCAAACGATCACAGTTTTTGACATTTTGTTAAGATAATCTCGAATCGGTTAGGGTTTGATACAGAATCAAACAAACGGCAAGCAGTAAAAAGTAACTTCAAACTATGTGGTTCGCCAATTCTGCTTCTCAACTCTGCTTTCCCTTGGCCAATTCGCCAATTCAGCTACAAACCGATTAAACAGAGCTCCGCTCCAGAATCAGAAAGTAGATTTAAATTGGCTATGGGCACATGATTTTGGTACCAAATGACTGAGTTTAAGAAAACGAACCTCTGACAGGCGCAGGCCAGGCTCTGCCCTCAATGCGTTTAATTCCGTAGACCAGAAGAGAAGCCCATGGCTGATGCATAGTCAAACAAGGGTTTGAAAAGTTGCCAGAATTCCTTCCTTTCATCATGTCAATTTTGCAAACAAAATCGTGCCCTAGAATTTCTTTACCCCTTCTGTCTGGTTCCACCAAATCACAACAAAAATTGAGCGCCAAAGTTAATGAAAAACGAATGGCGGGGCGTGATAAAATCAAGTGGGTTCGCGAAAATCTGAAGTACCTCGCAACAACGACGACGCAGAAGAATCGACAGGGAAATTTTCTCAATTTCGAAAATTAAAATGCATCCATGGCTCGCTTTGTTAGTCAGATTTCGAGTGTGATCTCAAATCTCGACGGATTTTCAAATAGATTTGAGTCATTCGGCAGGATTTCATAGAATTTTAATTAAATTATGTATTTAACTTTCTTATATTTTAATTTTTAGTTCATAGATTTAGATTAAAAATCTAAATCAATACATTTTTATTTTTATTATTCTTTTTACTTTTAATATTCAAATAATTTAATTATATTCATTTCTAATCATTCTCATTTCCAAACAATTTAAAATCATTTTCTTGACTTCACTGGTGACTTAAACTCTACCAAACAAAATCTTTTAACTACTGTAAGCAGAGATTCGAAAGTCTATTTTTCTTAGATACATGGAATATAGTAGTTGAACTAGATACCGTTTCTAAAATTTCGTTAAATAATTTAACTTCTATGAGTTAAAATTTAATCTCTAAATTTTTGTATATCATCAAATAATCTTTATAGTTGAAATTTATAATAATTTAGCCCTTATTGTGAAATTTTCATTGATTTAAAGTATTAATGATAACTTGGTTTCTAAAATTCCATCAGATCTCCGATTTTTCTATCATTTGATAAAGTATATAAATCATGATTTCAAGTTTTTAGCATATATTCTAATTTGGTTGAGTTGAGTTAGGGTGTATAAGATTTTTTTTCCCCTTAAAAAACTACTTTTAACTGCACAAGTTGTAAATTTGTGCTAACCCAATGATCCTATCAAAATAATGAACCTACGTACCCTAAATTAATTCAACCATTAAATATTTGTGTTGGGTGATTTTGATTGTTGAAATAACATGTTAAGATAAATGAATGGTGAAATTGTTAGTCATTTATTGCGGTAAAAAATGATTTAAGATAGTTTATAAACTGGCAACCAATATAGAAGTCAAAATTACCAACTTTGTTTGGAAGAACATCATGTATCGGTTAAGTATCCTCCAAGTGCTGATCACCAATAACAACGACTAATAGTTCGAACTATGAGCTCATAATCAAACACCTACGCTCTTCACCTACACACCATGAGGCTAACACTGACTATACATCTTTTTGTTCTAGTAAACCTTTCAAGCTAAATCCCTTGGTTATTATTAGGTGGATGGCTTGTTATTACTTTATTTAAAAGTCCAAGTTTCTCACTTGTTGCTTCGTAGAGATGGTAGGGACATGTTAGCTCTTTAATAATATCAAACTACTAGAATAGATAGACAATATAAACGTAACTAAGCGGTTAAAATATCTTGCTTATTACGAAATTTCAATCTCATTCTCACATTTGTCGTACTAACAGAAATCACTGGAATAAATAGAAAATGGGATATTTTCAAATTTATTCCTTATAACAAATAGGAGATCTATCAACCATACTCATTTTTAAATTTTTTAGCTCAAGGAGTGATATTCAAACCACCAACTTATTAATACTAATACGTGTTTAATCCACTTTTGATATTAGACTTGATCAAGGGTCTTTTTTTTTTTGTTATATGTAAAAAACTTAAAAAAATATATATTTCAATATTATTTTAAAAAAGCAAAAGAGGGGGAGGCGAAGTGAACCACAGAAAAAAATTGTTAAAATACTATTTTAACTCCTATACTTTCGGTTTTAGTTTAATTTGATCCCTATATTTTCAGAATGTCTAGAACTTTAGTTCATTTTTTACCTCTATATTTTTTAAAATGTTCGTTTTAATCCCTATACCTTTGAAATGTGACCATTTTATCTTAATTCATTATATTTATGTTTCAGATCTTTAATATTTTTATATAATATATATTTCTTATTTATTTTATCAATTTTAGAGTAAAACTCGAATGATAAGTTTTGAAAAACGATATACCATTAATAAGTAAAATTCAAATTCTTTTTCGACTTTTAGTTTCAATTCGTTAAATTTATGCTTTAGATGTTACATATACATTTCGAAATTAACATAGATAAATATTATTTAAAATATATATATTATAAAATAAAATCTTATCAATCCTCACCTCCAAATATGGTTTCTGACATGAATATATACTTACTTTTTTCAAAGGTTATGTCATGAATATTGCAAAGACTTGACTACGTAGTTGAATATGTATTTTGCTCCTGAATGAAAATTCTAGATCTGTCACCGTCGATATTGAAGTTGCCTATATTTATCAACATTTTCATAAAATAAAGAATTTAAAATTTCCATCAAAATCGAGATATAAATTTTTAAACAAATTTGATGATAAATTTGGAGGAAAAACAATGAGTAATATTATTTTGAATCTCAAAAAAGGAATCAAAAGCACAAAGTAGAAAGTTTTGAACATTTCAAAAAGAATGGTCCGTTCACGGTGGGACTCGAACCCACAGTCTCCCGCTCCGGAGGCGAGCGCCTTATCCATTAGGCCACGCGAACTGATTTGTTATACAATCATCTAAACTTGTAAATATATTGAAAAACATATTTGAGAGAATATTAGGCGAAATTTTGAAGACAACACTATAAAATTATTGTGAGCGGGAAATTTATTTGTTTATTTTTTTTAAATGAAGGGAAATTTTTATTTTTAACTCATGTGAGAGGTCTAGGATTTTGTAATGAACGGGTCAAGACTTTTGTTAAATCCACCCATCCAGATGAAAAGGTATATATAATATAAATAAATTTTACTTTTCAAACCTCTCCTAAAGTGATTGAAATGGAATAAATAAGTATTACTTTTAAATATAGTATAAAGTTTTTAATTTTACAAAAATAACTTTAAAAGATTAAACTCAAATCAAATGTAATGTAAAATAAAAAAAAGGTCGCATATTTTAAGAAAACGATAGGTTGTGATATTTTTTTAAATACATATTAAATTAACGTTATATAATGCAATTTCTCTTGAAAGTGTCCTTAGATGGTCAATATAATTATAAATGAAGTAAATAACGTTAAATTAAATATGTATTTTTAAAAGGTTGAAATTTTAAAAAAAATAGCCTAACTCAAACCAAATCCAAATTTGAATATTATATTTGAAAAAAACAAAAAATTGTAATATCGTTTTTAATACATATTAAATAACCCATCAGTAAGAATGGAAGAGCTTCAAAGTTTTAATATTCACGGAGATATATTAAATGGGTAAAGATTTACCTTCTTTGTTATTATTGTCATTGAATTTCAAACTACGATAACTAATTCTATCTCAGAAGCATTTGTAACCTTAATTAAATTTCCAAAAAATATTTAAATAACTAGTTGCCCTAATTTTATATTTAAAAAATTACATTTACAACTAAATGAATAATATTAAGAAACGTTACATGTCAAAAACTATCCTAAGTTCTTTAAGCAAGAAAAATTTGACTTAGAACAATCATCTTATCTTATAATCTCCCATATTTTGAAAAGATAAAGAAGATAATTTAAAAATTGAAATCACTAATGTTTGTGAAACAATGAGAGGATCATGGAATTAAAAGATAAAATCCACTTGAACTAGGAAAAGGAAAAGAAAACAGCTATAAAAAGGATTCTTCATAATAATACCATCGTCTTCAACTTCAGTTCGTGTGATTTGATTTCTATGGTTGAGAAGAAAACAATGGCTGATAGTGCTGCAGCCATTGAAGCCAGAGAAAAGAAAATGTATATTTTGAATCAATCGTACTTGATTTTTAGTGATCCGCCCAAAGTTCCGAGGAGGAAGAGGACTCGGGTCGAGTACTGCGACTGCAACTGCGACAGAAAACACCAATTCAAGGCCCCAGATACGGCGGCGATGGGGAAAGGCGATGACCCAGGTGCGGAAGTGCCGGCGGCGATGACGAACGGCGACGACCCTGGTGCGACGGAGGTGGCGGAGATGGTAAATTGCGGCGACCCAGGCGCTGAAATTACAAACGGCGATGTCCCGGGTGCGGCGGAGACGGCGACGATTGTAAACGGCGGCGACCCAGGCGCTGAAATTGCAAACGGCGATGACCCAGGTGCGGCGGAGGCGGTGGCAATGGTGAACGGCGGCGACCCAGGCGCTGAAATTGCAAACGCCGATGACCCAGGTGCGGCGATGGTGAATGGCGGCGACCCAGGTGCGGAATTGCCGGCGGCGGGGGGGAATGGCGGTGACCCAGAAATACCGGCGGCGATGAGAGAGCATATAATAGGGATGGGGGGGTACGGAATACAACTGATAATCGAGAAGGTGTTGACGGCGACGGACTTGAGGACGGATCAGGGGCGGCTGTCGCTGCCGCCGAAGAAGCTGCGGGGGGAGTTTCTGACGGCGGCGGAGGAGAGGTTTCTGGTGCGGCGCGGCGGCGAGGGGGAGACGGCGCTGAACTACATAGACACCATAATTTTGGGGCCGGATCTAAGAGAGAGCGCAATCCGGTTCAAGAAGTGGCGAATTGGGGCAAAATACGCCAATTGTTTGATGAATAAATGGAACTCATTTGCCAGAGCTCACCACCTGAAGGCCGGAAACACTGTGCGCCTCTGGACCTTCCGGGTCGATCGAATTCATCCTCAAACTAACACTAACCATTCTGAATTGTGTTTCGCCCTCGATAAGTTCTAACACGACGTCAGGATGGAGATCGAACTTTCAATTTCAAGAGAAGAGTCAGATGTCTTAACCATTGAACTATACTTACGTCGTCAGTAACATGTGACAGTAATGTATCATGTAGGGTTGGTTCGTCTTTTTTTTTTTCTTTTTTAATCTGAGATTGATAATCTTCTGTAAGAATYATTTCATTTGACGTAGATTCGACCATTTTTGTACCTCTTGATTTGAAGTACTTTTTTATTTTCTCAATTGATATAAACTACCGGCTACATTTGTGATGTTGATCATTTTTTCATATAGAGATTATGGTTATTTAATGGATTTTTTATGCTCTAACTTAGGATTTGTAGGATTTATGTATTGAGTGCTTCTGGATAATAAAAGATTTCAAACGTTGAGAACATATTAGTAGGATAGTTGTATAGTACTTTGATTTTTTTTTTTTAAGTTGAAATCCAGCGTGCAGTATTTCATTTATTTTACTTTCTAATAGTTCTCGCCTTAAACTAACATTGATATAAAAGTACACTACTAAATTAATAAAAAATAAATAAATTTGTTATATAAATTCAAATTAGATTGAATAATATTTTACAACATATAAATTACACGATAATTAGTAAGATATAAACATCTTATTAAACGAACCTAACTATCTAAATATTAGACAACAAACCTATAAATATTATTGTCAACCAAATATAGATTCGAGATGCTAGATATCTATTCCATATGTTTTACAAACGACCTTTAAGATGAACTTCTAAATGTAAGATCAGCTCTAGGCCTTGTTTGGTTGAGGATGAAAAATTAATGAAATGAGAGTATAATATTTTTTTTCTCATTCATTTATATTTTTAGTAAATGGTATAATAGAATCAATTGATACGACTCTAATCACCAATCTAAAATATGTAATATCATTCCCCTCTCCTCTGAGATGTGTTATCTCATGATTCTTTTACAGCTTATCGTTCTCATTATTTATTCCGTGGGCCCTATGTCTTTATAATTAGTATTTTTCATTTTTTTTACATTTTATCTATATATCGAGATTTAATTAATTGTTTCACAAATTTATTATTTATGCTACTAATAACTTTTCTTCTAAGTATGTCCATACGATAGACATCTAAGAAGTATTTAATTTGATGTCCTCTTAAAAGCACGAGTTCCTAAAGAGTTCATTCGGCAACATTCTCGTTTTCTATTCTCATTTTCTGTTTCTCAATTATCGTTTTTTATTTATTAGTCTTTTTTTTAATTAAAAGAAAGAAATTAAAACATATCGATAATTATTTATTGCTTATCGTTCTCTATAATTCTAAATAAAAAATAAATTTATATGAAAATTAATTTTAAATTAAATATTCAAAATTTTTATTTTATATGTATTATTTAATATTTATTATGCATTCAATAATGTAGTTATGCTTTGGAAAAATTGGAAGAACATTAAACTTGATATTTTTGTTTTCAGATTGATGTACAGTGGTGGAAACATTTCTAAAAGAAAGTTAGGAACAATAAATATATTTGATTACTGAACGTTATTTCTAAAAACTTAAAATTTCAGGATAGTTTATTAGATTTTGTCATTCGTTTTTATTTTTTATAAAATTTTATTTCATCAAATTTCTTTACTTCTTATGTTTTTAAACTATATTATTAAAATAAATTAGTGTATCTATTAACAAAAAAAAAAACTATTTATATATTATATTATTTTAATGAATTTTCTCTTATTACATATCTATTAGAATTGATATTGTTTAATCCTTTGGTTTATAAATTCTCTTAAATTAATATTATCAATTTAAAAAATCACAAAACCAAGATAAATATTACTCCCCTAAAAAATTTGTTTCCTTTATATGTCATCAATTTTGCAACTGTCTTCTTTTGGGGCCAAAAAAGTTTACGATAAAATTAAAATTATATAGTTAATACTAGTATTTTATAAAAATATCAAATTAATATATTCTAATTTCTAAAGCATAATATTTTAAATAAAGGAAATTAAATTGATAAAAAGACAAAGGAAGTAAATTAATACACAAAAGTAACTAATTATCACTGTATAAATTACATGAACGTTAGTAAGGGTTTTCTGAAATTTCAAATATTACTATAAAACTATTCAAATATTCTTAAATTTTATTACAAAACAAACATGATTATACAAAAAAGTTGAACATTTGTGTTTCCTCTCAAAGCATCTAAAATTTTGGATATCTCAAGATATAGAATATCAAAGATCACTCCATAAAATTGGCCCTAATATATATATATTTTTCATGTTTATGGGTTTTTATTTTTGTTTTTTTTTTTTCATTTCTATTTCCTTAAAATGGTTGAATATTCAATGTGGGATATTATTTAGCAATTAGATATTTACTCTTTGGTGTAACGTAACAAAGAGTTCGCGTGGCCTAATGGATAAGGCGCTCGCCTCCGGAGCGGGAGATTGTGGGTTCGAGTCCCACCGTGAACGAATTTTTTTTTTCCGTATAATAATCAGTTTTTTGATAAATGTTATTTTCTTAGTATATTTTTTGATAAATGTTTCAATTTTTATCTAAAGAGACTTGTTATGAGTTTCGAGTTATCAAAAAGGTTTGCAGTCTAATCTCATTCATTTCATATCCATGTAGTGTCGATAAAGATAAGAGTTTCGTGTCAATCTATTTCTTATTCTGAAAAGTTAAAAAATGATCCTATAATAATACAGAGAAAAAGAAAAAGGGAGATTTGTGATAGATTTTTCCGGGAATAGAATATACGTATGTCGTATATATTCTGCTTTCTTTAGAGCGAATGGGGTGGGTGGGGTGTGATGAATGTTTTGGCAGTTCTTTTTGTTGAAAATGATTGATGAGAGCTTTACCATTTTCCTTCGTCAATCCCTCTATTGTCGTTGTTATTCGCGATTCTTCTCTATCGAACAGGATAAAGGGTGGCTGATTCTTTGAATTTGTCGTTACTTTTGATCAACTTTTCTCTGTAGTTATCTCGCCAGCTCCTCTCTGGGGGTTTTGATCCTTTGTTCCCCTAGAAGCCGCCCATTAGTCATATTTTTTACGTATAAACTTGGCAACTTACCCAAATCCTCACTCTGTTTCTCTTCATCCGAAGAATCCGTGGAGAAGACGAACAGAAATAGTTCTAGAAACAGGTACCCATTTCCATTTCTTTTGGGGTTTAAGATTGTTTTCCAATTTCTATCTGTCATTATGCGAAATGGGTTTCTTGAATTGTGAAAATCAATTTGTTGTCTGAAGTCTGAACTGGGTTTTCCTTTACCTTCTTGTCTCATCAGTTTCTTCCTAAAATGGTGACGAGAATCGTGGATCTTCGTTCAGACACGGTCACCAAGCCAACAGAGGCGATGAGGGCTGCAATGGCGAGCGCCGAGGTTGATGATGATGTGTTGAGAAATGACCCAACTGCCCTCCGTTTGGAAACAGAAATGGCGAAGATCATGGGGAAGGAGGCAGCTCTTTTTGTGCCATCGGGCACCATGGGGAACCTCATTAGTGTTCTTGTCCATTGCGAGGTTAGGGGCTCTGAGGTCATTCTAGGGGATAATTCTCATATTCATATTTATGAAAATGGAGGTATTGCTACCATTGGAGGGGTCCATCCGAGGTCTGTTAAGAATAACAGAGATGGAACTATGGATTTGGATTTGATCGAAGCTGCCATTAGAGACCCAAGAGGAGAGATCGTGTTCCCAACTACGAGGCTTATCTGCTTGGAAAACTCACATGCTAAGTAAGTATTCTAATTTCTTTGTTTACAACCACTGTAATGTTTGTTCTATGGTCTCTCACTCAGTGAGAAGATTCTTCCTCTTGATTGAAGTGCCTAGTAATTTTAAAGTGATATTATATATTCAATATGCTTGTGTTGTGTTGATAGGTCCCTAAACTTTAAAAAGTATATAATAGATCATAGAGCTATTAAACACAAAATTCAAAATTAAAATATGGCACCAGTTAAAGTTCAAGTACCAATGAGATACAATCCTCAAAGTTTTGGGACAAATATAATTTAACCTTTGAATTGCTTTTAAGTATATTTGAATTTTCATCATCAATTATGTAATCGAATACCATGAATATTTTGAAAAGTACTTTAATTGGCTAAATTTCACCATTTCAAAATTATACCACTTGGGATGAATTACTCTAATGATTGGACCTTTTTTTAAATTATCTCCAAGACTTATTATTCGGGTACTTTTCTAAAATGCAGCTGTGGAGGTAGATGCCTCTCTGTGGAGTATACAGACAGGGTTGGCGAATTAGCTAAGAAGCATGGTTTGAAGCTTCACATTGATGGTGCTCGTATTTTCAATGCCTCAGTTGTATGTAGATGACTGAACATCTTATTTCTAATGACAATGGTATTAGAACATTATGCATTATAGTATCTGCTGCATGTTCTGTTAATTAATGCTCAAACTTGAAAAAGTAAAGAGTCAAGTTGCTCTGAAATGATTAGTAAAGATCAACTGGAGAAAGAGTTCCTCCACCTCTTGTTCTATATCAGTTGATGAATAATAAATAATAGAGATATGCCTTTTGGTTTGCCGCTCTGTATAGGCTTGTGAGTAAACTTAGTCCCTAACATCATCCTGTTGCCGAAGATGAACACGTTGATCTGCATTTGATTAGAATGATGTGTGATGAATATGGGTGACCAGAATTATTTATGGCTCGATCATAGAGGTCTGTGGTAAAATATTTAAAGTGAGAAAGATGGAGGTTTTCATGACTAGCTATCACTGAAAACTCTTGAACTAAATTGTTCTTATCATAATTGATTCTTCACCGTTAGATGTGGCTTGTTCTTTCTCTTTGCAATGGTTTGCTACGTAAAATCTGTTTATTCTTATGTTCTTTTCCGTTATTGTCATCTTTATCTTCCTGGCCTAGGGGTAATGCCACTTCACAAGTATAATTTTGCCAATCTCTAGCCTTCAAAGGTCACATTTTCAAGGAGTGGGATCGCGTAGATTTTGTTTACCCTGAAACTTCGTTTAACAATGATCATTAACCTATTGCTTCTGTGTTTCCAGGCACTTTGTGTTCCTGTTGATCGACTTGTCCAAGCAGCTGATTCTGCATCGGTATAATTAACCACCCAACTTTGTTATTCTTAGTCAATTTTATTCTTAAAAACTTCATACCCTTGCTTGTTTGTCCATTTTAAATTACCACCGAATCCAAAAGCTCGAGCAGGGTTTAGGATATATTTAATCTCTTACCGATTTTCTTAAAACTATTCCTTCTTGTCTCCATCTCAAATGTAGAAGCATTTCATTTCATATACATGCTTTTGTTAATTAATCTACCTCAGGTTCTATTGCTCAACCTGTGCTGTACTTAATTTTTGAACTAGGTATGTCTATCAAAGGGTCTGGGAGCTCCTGTTGGCTCTGTTATTGTTGGTTCGAAGAACTTCATTTCCAAGGTATATGGTCAGATTTTGGTCTTTACCTTGACTGCCAATGCTTTCTAACAACTTGTTTGATCAAAACTTACGTGCTTTCGTTCTAGGCAAGACGGCTCAGGAAGACCTTAGGAGGTGGGATGAGACAGGTTGGTGTTCTTTGTGCTGCTGCATTGGTTGCAATACAAGAGAATATTGTAAAGCTTAAGGGAGATCACGAGAAGACTAAGATTTTGGCTGGTAAAGCCTCCTCCCTTGCAACCATATTTTCAGTTCTCCGTTTTGGATTCTTTCACTGCAAACTTATGGACACTGCATTTCCTCTGTTTTTCTTCCTTTTTTCTTTGTTGTTATTGTTGTTGTGAGCTGTACAGATGGATTTAATGGGATCAATGGATTGAAAGTGGGAAGCCATTTGGTTGAAACAAACATAGTGAGTATCTTTTTAATCTATGCTTATGCTTAGATATGGAATTTTCTTCTTCTTCTTCTTTCTTTCAACCTCCTGGATATCAGGAACTATGGTATTACAGATCCATTTGATAACATTAATGAAAATCTGTTTGAAAATGATTCTTTTTTATTTATTTAAATGATGCTTAGTTTGTTTACTGAAAACTTTTCTTGTGTAATTTACTTTGAAATCTGTTTTTAAAATTCTAGGCAAATTTCAAGAACTTGTTTTTGGTTTCTAAAATTTGACTAAGATTTCAAAAGGGGTTTCAGAAAATTGAAAATCATTCTTTCTTCTTGTATGTTGACAGTTATATTTATAATTGCTTTCGAACTTGCCATATATCAGATATATATAGATATAGAAGAAGGCTCAACCATTACAGGGGAAAAACTATGCAAAATTTTGGAAGAACATGGCATACTTGTAATGCCAGAAAGCTCATCAAGGTTCGTTTTTAGCTTTTGGATGTCTTGAAACTTTTGCAGCTTCTCATTCTCGTGTCTATGTGAAACTATAGAGCCTTTTAGAAGCATGTGATGGACACTAACAAAAAAAAAAAAAAGTTAAAGAAGAAAATATTTGAGAAGAAACTAAGTTATAAGCATCAAAACTCTTCACATAATATACACTTGGTTTGCCGCTTTCTCTCGAACTCTATATGTTAATATCCTTTTGTATGTTCAGGATTAGAATTGTTCTGCACCACCAAATTTCAGCAACCGACGTGCAGTACACTTTATCTTGCTTCCAGGTGATCCAATAAAGACATTCTAATCGTGTTTGTGTTTTTTTGGGTTTAAATTCTATTTTGTTCTCTGAACTTTCATGTTTATTTTTATTTTATTTTGGTTATAGACTTTCAAACCTCTTATTTTAGTCTTGAACTTGACATTAAAAATCATTTTAATTCTTGAGGTTAATTTTCTATAAATTTGGTATAAACAGCCCCAAGGGGCGGTCCAAGTTGACAAACGCTTGAGGTCTCTTGATCATACTGGCTTAGACATTTCAAGTTAAAACCTTTTGGTAAGTTTAATACCAAAAATCTTTAATGTCTCTCGGGTTCGAGTCTTGGATAGGTGCGGGTACCCTAGGGTATAGGGAAGCAAAGCTCCGACTCCCAGCTATAAATAAATAAATTTGGTATAAACATGTATTTTGTTCCTTTGTTTGATGGGCATATATGTGTTTAAAGCTATATTAAGCAGAGCAAATTTCAAGTACAAAAATTGATTTTATTTTCTTTAAATGTATAATTAATGGAGTTGAAGAACTAAAACAGAACCTTTGGAAGTTTTGTGACCAAAATGAAGAAAATCACGTAGAAGTTCAGGAACTAAAATATGATTTATTTATATTTTGTTTAAGATAAACTAAACAAATCCTCTCGTTCTATGTCACAGCAAGCAATGGTTGGAGCAATTAACACATGAAAAAAAGCATCAACATGGACGATGTGCTCGAGTCGAGCGTCTTCTCTTTCGATGTAATGTGTCCATGCTTCTGTAAATAGTTTGTTTATCTAATAATACGTAGCAATATCTGTGAAGCATCATGACTATCAGTGAGTCTGTAAAAGAAGATGGTTTTGGACTGGTTAAGAATAATTGATAGTGTGGTTATTTTCATCCTTGGCCTATAGAGTCTTAAGCATAGAAACAAGAGAGTTCATTCAGCACTTTGTCATTTTTACCCTTGAAAAAAAGAAATATTACAAGTGTGATATCTTAATCAATTGAGTTATTAGTTAGCCCATGTTATAAGTTATAAAGACAATTTTTAATATTTTNAAGAAAAGAGAGAATTAAAAAAAAAAAAAAAAAGTGGAGTAGGCTTCCTATCTTGATTTGAACTGAGCAACCTAAACATTTTTCTAAAAAAGGACCTAAAACAATAATTGTATTGTTGGTAAAAGAAGATACCTATGTCCATAGGGCACTAATGTTCTTTTTTTAGGGTATTCCCATGTTGTTAGGGCAACCCTACACATCTAGGGTTTGCATTCCCATGCCCAAACTGGTTAGGCTTCCTTCCATATTGATCAAACATATGGAAATGTTGGTACTTTTTTTATTTCTTTTTTTGGTCCTTTTGTAGTTTATAATTAATGCCTCATCATGATGAAGATTTAGTCTCATTATAGGCTTATAGCCCATAGCCATACTAGCCCTTCTAAATATCTTTTTTGCTTTTTAATATATTTTGATCCTTACTCTTTAAAAATTTATCATTTTTGTCATTTTTTGGTTCTTTCATTTTGTTTGTTTCTATCCAAATTTTGAGTTCATATTTTACTTACTAAATTTCTTGAAATGGAGTAATAAATTTGTGTTAAAATGATTTTTGTGGTGTATAAAACTTTTGTTAAAATTTTACAAAAAATAACAAATTGGTCATATTTTAAAGATGCATGAACTAAAACAGATACTTTTAAGGTATAAGCAACAAAATGAACTTAGACTAAAATGAACCAATGAACTTGAAATTACAGAGACTAAAATGAACCAAAATAAAGTGGGGGTGTGAAGAGATGTTATTAGTTTCTTATATCTGATTTTTCGATTAGTGTGACTAAAAACCCACATTTACTATCATTTCTTTCTTTAATCTTATGCGTCGTCCGTGTTCTCTAAAATAATGTTTAGAAGATATTCTTCCAAATAAATATTTAAGTTTGTCAAGTATTATTTTGTGAAGAATATTTTGTTTGATTTTTATCTCAAAAGGTGGGAAAAGCTTTTCTTGATGTTATACGTTTGGTTGGGTGGAAAGAGCTTTTATCTAATTGACAAAGAATTGCAAAAATTTTGATTTATTCCCACTATCACTAGTAATGGTATAATTTCAAGAGGTCAAATTCTAAGTAAGGAGACATTTACATAGATAATCAATTAATGAGTTGATAACTCACTAATTATATCTTCTTTAAAATTGGACGTTTAATTGTCTAAACGGGTATAACTCAACGGTAATTGGTATATATCTCCAACCAACAGATTGATGTTAAGCTTTCAATTTCATCTAATTGAATGAGTACATCGCATAAAATACAACCAACAAACAATAACTACAAAATCAAATAGGTAAAAAAAAAATCCAAATTCAACCAAAAAAGGGAAGAAAAAAAACCCCAAACCTAGCTTAATTCAAGGATATTAAAATTTCAGTACTTATTTAACTTTAGGATTTAATAACTCACAAAAGTAAGTACAAGTAAAAAAATTAAGAGAAAATGTTATGTGAGATGGCGTAGTGACAAGCGCTTGAGACCTTGAAGTATATCAAATTCGTATTAATTTTTTGGTACTTTTACCTACCTCCCAACATATAAATGCAAAAACTTGTATAATTAAGGGGTGGTTTTCTACTCTTCTACTGTTGTTTTCCAAAAATGGAATTTCTTCATTTGAAAAACTACCATATTTCTCAAATGAGTTTAAAAAATATGTTAGACTTAGCCCTAGCCTTGCCTAACATACAACCCTATACTACAAAAGCATAAATCTTTGTACTTTGAACAAATTAAAAAAAGAAAACACCTTGGAAAAACATGCCCTAGACTAGATCATTAGACTAAAATTTAAAAAAAAAAAAAAAGAAAGTGAAAGACACGCGCCAAAGAGTGAGTGGATGACAGACCAAATGTCCTTTTACCAATGGTCACCATCAACTCTTTTCACTGCTAAACTTGTCATGTTATGGCTAATACTGTTCGTCTCTCTCTCTCTCATCCCACTTGACCCACTCTCTCTCTCTCTCTCTCTACAGTGTTTAAACTCTCAGTTTGCTTTCCCTTTTCTCCTGAAAAAGAAAATCCCATTCCTCTCTCTCTCTCTCTGATCTCTTATAATTTTCACTTCCTTCCCATTCCCATAGACTGCAACTCTCTCTTTCTTTCAAAGTTGAAACCTTTTTTCTGCATTCTGATCTCTAATTTGGGTGTCCAACAGAGGAAGGGAAAAAAAAACCCCTTTTGGCAAACCCATATGATTTCACATTCTTCTCTCCAAGCCATGCAAAACCCACTTCCCATTTCTCTGAAAACCCTAAAATAAGAAGTGGGTTTTGAATTTCAACTCCCATTTCTCCCTCCAAACCCTAAATCCAGCAACCCCATCAAGAAAAGCCCAAATCTTGCTTGTTATTTTCTAAAAATAATTGGATTTTTATGGATTTGTTCGCAGAATCTTCATCCAACAACAACAACAACAGTGGCAGCGCCGCGGCGCCATGCTCATCGCCGCCGTCGTCGTCGTCGTCCGGCGCCACGCCGAGCCGGTACGAGAACCAGAAACGGCGGGACTGGAACACGTTCTGCCAGTACCTGCGGAACCACCGGCCGCCGCTGGCGCTGCCGATGTGCAGTGGGGCCCACGTGCTAGAATTCCTCCGGTACTTAGACCAGTTCGGGAAGACCAAAGTCCACAACCAAAACTGCCCGTTCTTCGGCCTGCCCAACCCGCCCGCCCCCTGCCCCTGCCCGCTCCGCCAGGCCTGGGGGAGCCTCGACGCTCTAATCGGGCGCCTCCGCGCCGCCTACGASGAGAACGGCTTCCGCCCCGAATCCAACCCCTTCGGAGCAAGAGCCGTCAGATTATATCTGAGGGAAGTTCGTGATTTTCAGGCCAAAGCTCGTGGCGTTAGCTATGAGAAGAAGAGGAAGAGGCCTAAGCAAAAAATCACTAATTCCACACAAGATCCTCCAACAACAACTCAACAACAATAAAAATAAATAAATTTATATTCAAATTATGTGACCTATTTCTTTTTATCGAGAGCGTTGCAATTGTGGAGGTAGGGATTTGAACTATCGACCTGACTGGGCCTTAAGGAGAAGGTTTAATTTCCTATGCATTCAGGTTTAATTTAATTGTTAATTTAGTTCTCTATATCTCTATCTTAAGAAGGTAAATATTTGTGATTACTATGATGATCTCTTAGACCATGTTTATTTCTCTGTCTCTCTCTGAATTCATATGAGAGAAGTGGATTTTGTGATTAAATTTTGGTGGGTTTTGCTTCATATCCCAATTAATTAAGTGGTTTGGATTTTTCAAAGATCTGTTTTTTACACTTTGTGATATGAATTGAAGTAATTAATGGGAGTATTGAGAAATAAGTATATGGGTTACTCTTGAAACATATGTATATATGAACCAAATTTCATGAATTTTTTATTGCCATTTTTGGTCCTTTTTTGCTTCTGGGTTCTGTGATGGAATATCTAAAAGCTAGGGCTTTCTCTTTCTCTCTCTTTCTCTCATGTTCATGAGGGAAAGAAACAGAACTATTTGGAGTTGATTTGGAAAATGCAACAGGAAATGGAGGAGAAAAACAGTGTACAAAAACTATTTATTAGGGTTCCTTTGGCTTAAAAAGACAATCTTTTTAAAGATCTATCTAAAATTAGGCAAAAGGGCAAAACCCTAGATTAATTTTAATATATGACAGCCATCTCTTGAACATATCATATAATTATTGACGGGGTCAGGAAATTAAAGAGGTATAATATATCCCTATTTGCATGTTGGTTAGGTGATTCTATTATTCGTTGCTGAAACTATAATTAGAAAATATAGATTTTAACTGATTTACAATTTAGGCTAAACTAGGGGATTGTGTACAGGAGGTTATTTGTTCTATATATTTTTATTTTGGTCAATATATTTTGATTGGTACATATGTTATGGTAATTTGAACTCACAACCTTTTGATCGGGAAAAAGTATCAGTTGAATTTTGCGAAGGTTCGTAATTTTGATCGATATCTACTGTATGATGATTACGTTTGTTTATCATGTTACTATTTTGTGATTTGCTGCAATAGTACAACCCACTAAATTGAATTGGATTGAATTCAAAATAAATAAATAAATATATATATATATATATATATATATATATATATATRTGTGTGTGTGTGTGTGTGTGTGTGTGTGGTTAACATATTCGTGACAAGTTGTAAGTTTGAATTTCCATCCACGTGATGTTGAATATCAAAAAAAATGTATGCATGCTTATAATTATATAGTATGATTACATTTATTATTTTGGTGAAAGATTAAAATTGGAAAAATGTGAAGGAAAGATCACTCAAATTACAAAATCCAAGATTTTAATTGATAGTAAAAAATGTAAATAGAAGACCCTTGTAAAAAAATTATTTTTTTAATTGAATAGTAGATGAAAATTATTTGAAGATATATGTCTCAATAATTCTAACTCTATTCAAAAATTTTGTATTGAATATTTTAAAAGCCGAACCTTTGTTTTTGGAGTTATCAGGGGAATTGAGCAATGGGAAATATGGAATTGATATATTTTTATGACTCATAAAGTACCTAATTAATTACTATCTTCAAGAAAATTGAATGGATAAGACAATTTCTTACCTTTGCAAAAAAAAAATGGCATTTTATTTTTGTTATTAATTTTATAAGCTGGCTCTGTTTATAGAATTATCCATGCAAATTTACTTGAAAGGTTAGGAGTTGTATTGTAATTAAAAGAAATCCATTATCTTAATAGTGGATTAGGGTTGTGATTAACATTTTTTTTTTCTAAAAATTGATTTGAAAATTGGTTTCTTCTTAACTGTTTTGCAAAATTATAAAACTTTTTTCTTCTCACAATTTTTGTTTAGGTCTCCTAATTGATTTCTACAAATGTCAATACTAGAAAAAGGCATAACAGAAAATAAATATGAAAATAAAATATCATCTTCTTAGTTTACATGTATACAATTTTAAATTTTGTTCCTCTTTAAAATATTCATTTTTTTGCTTTAAAGTATTACAATTGAAACAAAATCGTGTTTTCCAATCTAAAATTTGTAATAACTAATGTCTCGAAGAATTGAACTTAAATAATACAATAAAACCTCCTTATATATTCTATTTGTATAAATTTTATCTAGTTCTGGATAAAGTTATTGATAATCTTTCTTTTAATATTCCACGATGGCTTGCTATCTATTTAAAAATTAAATTCTATGTGTTTTCCTGCATCATAATCGTATTTGTAGGGTCTATAAAGCGAACGGTGTCCCGTGAGATAGTCGAGGTTGTCCAGATGCTCATAGATATTAAAAAAAAAATCTTTAATTTTAATACTTTTTTTTAAATTATTATTTTTAATAAGTAGATAATAAATAATTAGAAAAGAAAATTCTCTACCATTTAAGGGTGAAAAAAGATTGCCAGAAGGATTATTTATTTATTTTTAATTCCCCTTTCAGATGAAATGACAGTTTAAAGGGTTGCATTTTCCATTTTCAGAACATTAAAAAGTTCAAATTATTACATGTTATTCTTTTTACCATCTGATTTTGTCCACACACACACACACATATATATATATAATGTGGTTTTTGGGAGAAAAAAGGGTTAAATCATATTAATAGTTTCGAACTTATAAATTATAATTGCTATATTTTTGAAATATAATTTTGAATTAAACAATTTTAGAAAGTCTCTGATTTAATCATGCTCTAATGGTTTCAAACTTAGGATAAATTGTCTTTTTAATAAGTTTTTTCTAATAGATGGTTTAGTTGCAACTTATGTTAGTTGCAACTTTTTTTAATAAAACAAATATGAGGTGGGAAATTGAATATTTTACGTGCTTTATTCACTATAAGCTAAATTCAAACGGACAATTGGTTGCAATTTGAAAAAAATGTCAAAACCACCCCTCTGCAATATATCTGATATATATCTGCAATATATCTAACTACTGATATATGTCTCTGATATACCAATGATATAATAATGATATACAATTGATTTACTTCTAATACAACTATGATATCTACTAAACTTCTAATACGGCTTACCACTTATATACGTATGATAACCATTGAGTTACCATGCCAATATGATATTTATATATCTGTAATATATACTTGATATGTTTCTAATTTACCATTGATATATAAAAATGATATACCACTGATATAACTATGATATCTACTTATATAACTCCTTATATATGATTTACCACTAATATAAGATTGATATATATTTAATATATACTTAATATGCTTTTAATTTACCACTGATATACCATTGATATAAACCATGATATCTACTAATAATATAACTATGATACATGTGTGTTAATATAATACTATTATATATCCACTTTTTTTTTCATATGAAAACAATGGTGAAAAAAATGAAATATAAAGTTATTGTATAAAAGGTTTATGTGGATCATGTGTGTAAAAAAAAAAATTAAAAATCTGATATACTTTATAAATCTAAACCGCTAATATCCCTATGTTTAGTATCTAATTAATTAATATAGAAGAAATGGTAGTGATATAGTAATCAACATTTTAAATAATATTAGTATATCAATCAACAAATTGCAATGGTAAACTAGAATTTATAACAGCTGATATACCACTGAAAATTAAACCTTATATTTAGAATATCAGTTGCAAATATATTTAGTATATCATAAATTAGAGGTACATCAATTATATATATTAAAGGTATAACACATACATCTGATAATGTATATCATGGCTACATCTAATATATATTGGGAAGTATATCAGAGATTGGATGTATATTATATATTGGATATATATCAGATAAAGATATACGATGTATATCAGATATCATAAGGGTAAAATCGGAATAATAAAAAATCCGAAAATAAAAATTGAAATATTTTGCTATATTTGAAATTTTGAAAAGCCGGTGACATTTTTTGAAATACATAAATTATTTTTGCTACCCATTACAACTATCCTAATATTGTTAGAATTAAAGCCTAGACAGTTCTTAAATTAAGGATCGTTATTGCAATTAATGTCCCCTATAAATTAAGAAATTAGTTTTAATCAATTAAACCTAACTATTATATTAGGATAGAGTTTAATTGCGGGATGCTGCTATAATTTTTTAAGGAAGTAGTTCTCAAATTAAAAGTGTGAAAGTGGTAACACTTTAACATCTTCTATAGTTCATGAGTGGTTTTTATTAATTTTATTTAAAAAAAATATTTTTCTTTTTAAAAAATGACCTTCAAATTCACTCTAAAACAACAAAAAGACAAGTGTGTTACCTAGGGGAAGTTTAGCTTTAAGGTTTATGACCCTCCTTTTATAGGGAGTGATATGATATGACTACGTGTGGAAGAAACTCAAATTTTTATTTTCAATTTCATGTTTGTGTATGTAAAGTTCGACTGATAAAAGGGGGGTTTTTTTTTTTTTTTAATTTTATCTGCTATGATTTTGTGTAGGACGTTTTCAAAAGTCCAAACTTTTTCACTTTTTTTCTTTCTTTCATATAATGTGGTGTGGAAAAGAAAAAAGAAAGTCCTTTCACATCCGCTAAAATAATTTTAAGAAAATCAATAATATATAAATAGTACAAATTTTTTTAAATAAAATTAAGAGCAAAATCAAGTTGGACTTAGTATAGATTTGAAGTGTGTGCAATATATATCATATTATATTGTCGAGAAATTACACAATATATTGTTGTAAACACAATAACCACGTTGTCAAGTTTATCTTCGTACTCTTTTTGGTATATACTCTTCAATAGAAATATGTTTTAGTCCTCCTAGTTTAATTTTTTATTTTGTATATAACTATAATCTTAAATGGTTTGTTTATATAAGCTAAAGAGCAATGTTTTCTATCGACCAAAAACACTACTTCCACATTGCGTACTAATTTTTTATGAACAATTTCGGGAGACTAAAAGCAAATTGTATAAACCATGGACTAAACTATAGAAATTATTAGCATTACACAACAACATATAACTTCGCGGTTAAACACACCTTTGAATTTGAAAAACTTTAAATTATCACTGTCGAATTAAAGTATG